TTTTCTGTCGTATTCTCGAGTTATATTTGTAACATACATCGCTGCTTCACTGTTTCCCTCTAGCCACTCAGAGAAATCCATGATCGTGATGAGTTCACCAGGTGCTTCATTTTTCTTCTTCTCAACGATCTTTCGTCCCCATTCCATTTTCAAAGCAGGAGTCAGCTTATCAACGAGATCATTCAAAAGTTGAGGGTTTGTTAAGTATTCTTGACCTTTCAGACTTTTCAGTGTCACTGCCAGATTTTTCACTTTGATTGAAAAGTCAAAAATATTACTCAGTTTGTCCTCTCTCATCATAGGAATTTTAACCGCTGACTCTATTAGCTCTTGAATGATAGTTTCCGGCCTACCAAATCGATTTTGTAAGGTTTTGATGATCTCATCCACTTCCTGGGTGAAGCTTAAAAGGGCATTGACAGACTCCTTAGCTCTGCCTCTCAAACTTCTCTGTAGTCGGATGATATTCTCAGCGTTTGAAAATTCACAGATACATGATGAGTCGTTGAACTGAGTAATGAAATTCATCCATTATGCTGAATTCGCCGAAGAGTATGAGAAGAAAATTTCCAGTTATGTCCTGAAGAACTACGCAAAAAAACTGACACCTATGGAGGTAAAACAGCAAAAGAAAAACAAATGGTACTTGCCACATTTTGCAGTAATCAACTCCAATAAACCTGGAAAAATTCGTTTCGTCTTTGATGCTGCTGCGAAAACCATGGGAGTCAGTCTCAACGATGTCCTCCTCAAGGGGCCAGACTTGCTCAACTCTTTACTCGGTGTCATGTTCAAATTCAGGCAGAGGAATATTGCTTTTACAGGAGACATAATGGAAATGTTCCACCAAGTACAGATTATAAAAGAAGATACATGCTGTCAGCGTTTCTTGTGGAGAGGAAGAGAAAGAAATAGAGAACCTGATGAATATGAAATGATGGCAATGACTTTTGGGTCCGTATCTTCACCAACGTCTGCCCAATACGTAATGAGGAGGAATGCTATGGAGTTTGATATAGAATTTCCTAAAGCTGCAAGTGCCATCACAGATCTTCACTACATGGACGACTACCTAGACAGCGTAGACACTGAGGAGGAAGCCAAAGGGGTCGAAAATAGACATGACTAAAAAATGTGATTAAAAAGGAAATAGCTTTAAAAAAAGCGGAGTTAGATGAAAAATGTCAATCCAGTCGTGCATCCACTCGTGCATCCACTCGTGCATCCACTCGTGTATCAACTAACAAAGGTGATGTTGATGATGTCCGAACAGTTACATCCAAATCTTCGTATGTCCAAAGGTGGGTTAACTCTATGGATGATTTTCATCCTTCAAATCACGTCCAAGAAGATATCAAAGTGAATAAATTCATGGCACGACAAACCTTCAGTAAAGATCTTCCAACCTTTTCGGGAGAGCCTGGAGAATGGATGAATTTCATTACTCAGTTTGTCCTCTCTCATCATAGGAATTTTAACCGCTGACTCTATTAGCTCTTGAATGATAGTTTCCGGCCTACCAAATCGATTTTGTAAGGTTTTGATGATCTCATCCACTTCCTGGGTGAAGCTTAAAAGGGCATTGACAGACTCCTTAGCTCTGCCTCTCAAACTTCTCTGTAGTCGGATGATATTCTCAGCGTTTGAAAATTCACAGATACATGATGAGTCGTTGAACTGAGTAATGAAATTCATCCATTCTCCAGGCTCTCCCGAAAAGGTTGGAAGATCTTTACTGAAGGTTTGTCGTGCCATGAATTTATTCACTTTGATATCTTCTTGGACGTGATTTGAAGGATGAAAATCATCCATAGAGTTAACCCACCTTTGGACATACGAAGATTTGGATGTAACTGTTCGGACATCATCAACATCACCTTTGTTAGTTGATACACGAGTGGATGCACGAGTGGATGCACGACTGGATTGACATTTTTCATCTAACTCCGCTATTTTTAAAGCTATTTCCTTTTTAATCACATTTTTTCTCAGCTCCATCTGCTCCATTTCTATTTCCGCTAATTTTCTTTCTTGCTCTAAATCTAATTCTAGTTGTTTTCTTCTCACAGTACTCGACAATGCGCTAGCGCTAGATTTAGTTTTCGACGAAAACGTTACGTGTGAGTTTTTATCTTCCATGATAGACTTTCTTGACATAGATTTGCTATTTTCCACATTAGAGGAAGATTTTTTATCGTTGGACATTACGTTTTTATTTTTTGTTGACCTCTCTTCCCTTTTTTCATCACCCTTTCTTTCATTTTGTTCCTCCTCCATATCAATCATAAATCGAGAGGGCGGTTGACCTTTGTTTATCCTCTCACTTCTTCTGATTGATTGTTCATTCGGAGGTAATGATTTGGCGGACATCCTTAGGGCTGTTCTTTATCTCGAAGGACCACTATGTGTGCGTTTGCACTAGGTTTCGGAGTTTGGCACTGGTTTGAAACCGTTTTTCACTTGAAAAATATCAGCACAGACAAGACAGATGTTTGAGTTTTTTACTGACATTCAACAACAACCTTCAATCACAACAAAATTATACAGAATGATAAAATCATATATGAATAAACTTTATTCCGAAGAATATAAACTTTCCGCAGGAACACAGATCCTTATATTCGTACGGAAGGCGATATATTGATTTCCTTTCCAAATACTTTCTCAAGCAAACAGATACGACAGATATTCACCTTTATGTCTCTATGGAAACACGGCAGGTACCCTTATGAGGGGAGAGTATCAACTCGGCGTTTATAAACCCTCTCTGCAAAGGAGGTTGACGCATGGTGGGTTAGGTTTCATACATTCCATACCAAAACCAGGAGCTATTTCATATGACCACAACATGCTTACAGCTGCAGCCCCAGGGAAGCCCTTTCTAAGCCAATAGCTGCAGCCCCAGGGAAGCCCTTTCTGAGCCAATATGAAGAAAGAAACATTTCAACTCACAGAAGTTTATACTGAATTCATATGAATAAAAATATCTATCTATGTATTTTATGTTCTGGAACTGAATTAATTGATTAATAATTTTTGAAAATTAATGTAGACATTGACAAAACATGTTTTCCACTGTATAAGTACAATGCATTATAATGGATTGATATTTTGTTCAAAGACCTACTTGTGTCTTTCCAAAGTACTAAGAGAAGGATCTACCAGTTTACTGCCTCCCCTCAGTGCTCATGTATAGTGTTTTCTCTCCTCCCCTTACATTACAAGTGAAGATACCTTCATGAACATGTAGAATTATCAATGAATTTGGAATCCAGGACTTTTATTTATGTAGGAATAAATTATTGTTTTACATGGTAGGTAATAGGTAGATATACCTCTAATTGTTGATTGAGGTAGTTGTGGAATAAAAATATGAACTTGCAAAATTTTCATAATTCGATATGAAGAACTGAAAATATTCCGTTTTTAGCTATCAAAATTCAAAAATCCTTCATTGCAGCTTCAGAAATTCAGTAGTAAAATAGCATGCGGAAACATAAAAAGTACACAAATTCATTCAACATTTTGTGCTCTCTTCAGATATGTTAGCAGATTTTGTAAATTCAAACATACAGGGTGTTTTTTCGAGGACCCAGTGATATGTTGAATTTTTGTTAATCCGGGCCTGGATTTTTTTTTCAGACGGATATTCATGTCGCTGGGGTAGCAGTGGGAGAACACGTCTACAAATATCAAAAAAATATACCAGGTGGTTCGTATGCTATGAGCCTTCAAAGAAATGACCAGAATTGATAAAACACCCTATAACTGGATAATAAAACATGTAGGACCCAACATATATGGTATATTTAGAACCACCTTGGTCACCTCTATCCACCATTAAAGTATTTCTGTTTCCCAACGGAACACCCTGTATGAAGAGGTAGGTCCTGAATTAGTTGGTGATCTTTGGTTTATATTTGGATGGTTTATTGGCCCCAATTTTTCAGTGCATGAAATTCAAATCATTTTATTCAACAAATAGTTCAGCTTTTTTCTTAAAATTTTCTGGTACTGTCACTTTCAGTGAAATCTTCAATTTTGGAACAAATATTTAGTAGATTCCATACTAACAGTTGAATTCAGAACATAGTGACAAAATGTCTAACCCTTTACAACTGGAATAAGGTCAAATTGATCATAATACTACACTTAATACATTGGTTGGAGCATGAAATTGAGTGTTACTTGTCAAATATATTGTCTTTTGTCAAATATATTGCATTTTTTCAATGACGATTATAAATAATCTGAAAAACCTCAGATCCAAGAGTTATTTCTACTTCAACTATTAATAATCAACAATCCAACAATTTCTTAACTATCAGAAATGTAGGTAATGAATGTTCAATGAGGTGTCAATTTTGTTTACACCAACTGCCAACAAAAAACCTCAACAGTTTTGCCACTTATTTACCAATGCAACCATGGCAACAAACCTTCAGTAAAAATCAGTGAGAATGAGAACAAAATAAGAACACCATTTCCACAAATGCAATGCCACAAGAAAGTTTCAAGTATGGTGTACATACTCATTATTTCAATTATTCCAGAACAGTTGTTCTAGTTGTGCAAGCAATCCTTGCTTCTTGATTGTTTCAACATGATAGCCCATGGATGCATTCATTTTGACCTATTATCTTTAAAAAATGATGTTATATACTTGTTACAGCACAGAAGTCCTATTCTCCAATTGATCCATTCCTCATTGCCCTCTACTTCTTCATTCTTACCTAAATTACTCATATAAATCTTTAATTTTAGATGGAGCCAGTTCTGTGTTTATTTCTTCTGAATGAAATGAGAAGTGGATGTGCTTTTACTCACTGTAGAAATGTTCAACAGAAATATTTCAAAAATCTATGATCAAAAAGACTGTATCACCATAGGTAGGTGTAAATGATTTGGTGTTGGTGATTATTCAAAAATTATTTATATATCATTGTAAATTGAATATCTAAAGCAAATAAAATCATAAAAAGTCAAAAGAGGCAACTTACTTCGGCCTCCTCACATGCAGCCTCCAGGCTTTGCATCATTGGATCCAGTTAGAAATCAACATCCAGATAACCAGATATTAATTAAAATGCTCATTTCACTATACTGAGTGTACATAAAAATGAACTTGCCTGTAAACAAATGAATATTAAGAAAATACCTTCCCCATTGTTTTGTCAAAACAACATAAACAATTTACATTGTTGCTGTCAGTCTGTCATTAACCCACAATATATTCAGGTAATGATGATTATTCTTTCCACAATATCAATTTTATTAGGATTTTATATCTTTTTTGAGTATAATATTTACAAGGAATCTGACAAGTTGTAAAGATGACATTTGAGAAAGTTCCATCCCTGCATCAGACTTTAATGACTTTGTAGGTCAAACAACCAATGCAATATTCATCAAATTACAAACAGAACTTACTTAATATTCACGGCAAGGAATACACAGAAACATGTTCACTTAATTTCTTCATTATAGGTACCATATTACGTTTACAATAAGGCCGCAAGGGTAACCTAACCCCTATCGCCTCGGAAAAAATATGAGTTTCACAGGACCCACAACACTCAGATCTTCTGTATAATATAGACTATACCACAGATGTGCATAGAGTCTCCCTAAAAACAAATTATATTCGCGACAAATATCAGTATTTTCGCAAAATTATTGAAAAACCCAGTTTACAAACATACTGGGCACCCATGGCGGACCTCTATCGGTAAATTTCATTTTGGCCAATCAGCTGTGTTGACTGTTTTGGCGGAATTATTTGAAATACCCGAAGGCAATAATAATTTAATGGTTATTATTTCTGACGTGTTTCTGACTCCCTTGAAGTGCTTAAAACCCCGATCCTAATTAATTTTATGATGTTAAAAAATCACCAGAGACTTTAATATTAACATTCAGTAATATTGTCCCATTGCATTATCATAAAAAATTATTAAATAACTTTAAACGAATCACAAGCGTCGCGTGTTCTCATGCCAGAATACGTTAATTTCATCATCATATTATGTTGGACATAAATAACATATTTTTTAGTTTTGTCTAGGATTTGTCATTTGTCTAGTTTGAGAGTTTTTTGAAATAGTATAAATCGAGTAGGTCATGTGGAAAGCAGAGCTGTAGCCATTCACGGTTACCTCTATATATAAAATACATTATTACATTTTTTTTTACATATTATATTTGTTTTGTTTGTGTGTATACGCACTCGCACTACAACCTACACAACTGTACTACACACTAACTGGCCATCGACCTTACGAGAGGGGTTCCTTTAGAGCCGATGTGGAGTTCTGCATGTAGGCTTTGTTACTGACTCCATACGCCACACCTTAGGAGAAGCACTCTGTTAGTTGAAAATTAAAATTTATAATTCGTTTTATGAATGAAAATTCCCTGATCCTATGTCGGGAATCGATCCAGCAATCGTTCGATGCTGTGATTACGCGCTATTCGATCCACTCTGTCACCTAAGAATAAATACCTACTCCAAAATCTCCATATCATATATTATACCGGTAAGTACTTCAAAGGTTTTAAAGTTACCTATATTTACCTTTTTGGCAGGTATTATAATGTAAGGGAAAAAGTTGGCAGTTTTGCCAACAATCTAAAGATATAGAACGCCATCGGGATTGGTCAATATATACATTCAGTTCCAGCGGCACACTTTCTGCATTTCTATACCGGGTGGCTACGGAAGTATTGCCTACGGAATATCTCAGTTATTGTATGAAGTAGGTTTGTGAAATTCGGAGCGTCTATATAATGACATAAGAGCTAGAATTTGAGCATATTGACATGTCGAAGTTAACTTCCGGTCTGACCTGAAGTAACATCAACTTTCTTATTTCAAATGGAAACCCTAATTTTTTTCCTTTTCGCTTTATTCAGCATTCAATTCCCTTTCTAATGACATATCACAAGTTGGTATCTAACCAGAAACTAGATCAGAAAAAAATTATTATTGAAATTCACCGAGTAGGCCGTGGAAGCGTATTTCATTTCAAAAAATGACTTTCTATTATATCATTAGAAAGGAATGGTTATGCTGAATATATAATACAGGCAAGAAAAAGTTGTATGTTCCTATTTAAGTTATGGACCTACAGAGTATTGTTTTTTTCCCAATTTTTCCAATATTTTTTTTGGCGGCTTTTTATAACGCCGACGAATGAGAATAAAATATCACAGTAGTAGCAACTGTTATCAAGTGACGTATGGTTTCCATAGCCAACTTTTCAATTTTTGGCTTTTATTTTGCTTCCACGGCCTACTCGGTGAATTTCAATAATAATTTTTTTCTGATCCAGTTACTGGTTAGATACCAACTAGTGATATGTCATTAGAAAGGGAATTGAATGCTGAATAAAGCGAAAAGAAAAAAAAAATAGGGTTTCTATTTGAAATAAGAAAGTTGATGTTACCTCCGGTCAGACCGGAAGTTAACTTCGACATGTCAATATGCTCAAAATATGCACTTTAATGAACCCTACTTGCGATTATATCACTATATATAACCACAGTATAGACAATTAAGGGCCTATATACTGTGATATAACTATATAAACTATAGTTTATTTTCACTACTTATACTTGTATATATCTATCTTCATATATTATATGAGTTCAATATTTCACCAACACCTTATATGTTTTTAATTTTTCCGGACAAAAGTTATTCCTGGAATAAAATTAATCCAGAAATTTTCACTCTCTTCCAAAAGACTCACAAACTCATTAAAATTATAAATAGAATCGAATCAAAACTATTTGTAATAACTCGCTCCTTTTAGGATGACCACATGTTTTTTATTCATTTAACTGTTTTTCCATATTTTAATTTCATTAAAATTGGGCTGCTTACATATTATATATTTATTATTTAATCCAATATAAAATATTACAATTCCTAACTAGAATGATATCACAAATCAAAGTATAATATAAAATGAGACCTCAATAAGTCTTTAAAACAATGAAGTCAGAGCTTTAATGAGTTGAATCAGTTCTTCTTCTCTTGACAGGAATAGTGTACCACATCTCCGTTTGGATACCGCACCAATGCACTGCAAAAAATAAACAAATACAAGTTTTCAATCCCGAATGAGTTTTTTAATACATATTTTCGAGTTGTCAAGATACAATTTTCAGAAGAATTGATAGGTCAAAATTATCAATTAATTTCCGGGGGTGTATATACATAAGAGATAATGTTTTTATCGATAAATACATGATTAATTGTATGAACCTTTATTGTCATGGCAAACAATATCTTGAATTTTAATGATTATTTCATTCACACCTGGCTGCACCTATGAAATTTCATGATTGAAGTCACATGATATGCGATATCAGCGGCTATTTAGGTAAACAAACATAATAGATGCGTTTTAAACATCTGAGGCGATCCATCTTACAGTGGAGTGAAGGCAATAGGACAGGACAAAATTCTTACAGTCGACTCCACCAAAGCTATACTTTATTGTAAGTAATCTTACACGGACATGTTTCGAAGCTTTAAAGCTTCATCATCAGCGTTATTGTTACATAGGAGTACTAAAGTGAGAGAAAAAAGAACAATGTCAGACAAACTCATCAACAACGATAGGTCTAAAAAACTCACCTGTTCTGGAGGAAAAAAGTCATGTTTACATTTTTTTTTTCCTCCAGAACAGGTGAGTTTTTTAGACCTATCGTTGTTGATGAGTTTGTCTGACATTGTTCTTTTTTCTCTCACTTTAGTACTACTATGTAACAATAATTCTGATGATGAAGCTTTAAAGCTTCGAAACATGTCCGTGTAAGATTACTTACAATAAAGTATAGCTTTGGTGGAGTCGACTGTAAGAATTTTGTCCTGTCCTAGATGCGTTTTTTATTTATCCGATTCCGCCACCGGAATCACTTTAATGTGTCGTTTTATTTGCAACCTTACCGATTCCGGTTGCTACTTTTCATTCCTTCTCACTATACAAGGAATGGCATGGAATGACTGTTGACAGTTGTCAAAGAATGACATTAGATTGAAGAAAAACGAAACTTTTTGAAACAGAAAGACATTTTTATCGTGAGATTCACAAGTTTATGATTCTTTCAAGTAAGACAGGTTTCATATCTTCATTGCCAGACACAATGAACGATCTCAGAGAACCTTTTCCAAGCACCACAATCACTGCTCCAAATATGCATTGATTAATTTCTTTCATCATCTTGATTTTAAAAGCTTTTCCATTCAACTTGCATTGTATGTTTGTATGGATGTATGTATGTTCGGGTGGAATCTTTGAACTCAATTTTGAAGTAGAAATCTTCAACCGATTGAGCTGAAATTTTGTATACACGTTCAGTTTGGATGACAATGCACGATAAGGTGTGTCACGTTATTCTAAATCCAATATGGTGGACTATCCAAGATGGCGGAATAGCTATTATTGATATACTTTTACAATATGGGTATCGAATGAAAGGGCTCGTTGAGAGTAACTCGAAAAATGATGTGACGTCGTTCTAAATCGAGTATAGCGGACCATCCAAGATGGCGGAATGGTAATTTTTAATCTACTTCTATAATATGGGTATCGAATGAAAGGGCTCGTTGAGAGTAATTCGAAAAATGATGTAAAGTTATTCTAAATCGAATATGGTGAACCATCCAAGATGGCGGAATGGTCATTTTTAATCTACTTCTACAATATGGGTATCAAATGAAAGGACTCGTTGAGAGTAATTCGAAAAATAATGTGACGTTATTCTAAATACAATATGACGGGCCATCCCAGATGGCGGAATAGCTATTTTTAATATACTTATACAATATGGGTTTCAAATGGAAAGGCTCGTTGAGTGTAACTCGAAAAATGATGTGACGTCATTCTAAATCCATTATGGCGGATCATCCAAGATGGCGGAATGTTCATTTTTAATATACTTCTACAATATGAGTATAAAAAAAAATCCAACTAGCGATAACTGAAAATTATAAAATAAATTAGAAGTAAAAAAAAAATTTTATTAAAAAGCTTTTATTTAAACGCTCTAAAAAGAAGAAAATAAATTTTTTCTTAATAATTTCAACTATCAACTTATAACCTCATTATACACAATTTATACGAACATAAAAGCTTGTGGCGATGATCAATATTAAATTAAATTGTAATTTTGAAAATTTTATCTCAGTAGATTTTACATAATTAAATAAGTACTAGTTCATTCACACAAGTGAATCGCGCGACTGCTTAGCCTAAATGAGCTAGGCAGTCAGAACAGACTAACTTTAGCATGGGTACCAGCACATATAGGGTACGAGGGCAATGAAGGGGCAGACTCACTTGCCCGAGCAGGAGCAAACAAAGCTCTGAATGGCCCAGAACCCTTCTGTGGTATTGCCTTTTGATGCTGAGCAATACGCCATCTGACGGAAAAAACTCGCATCAATATCATGTGACCAGCAAGGTTCCTTACGCTGGGCGAGGAAAAACCAGAAGCCCAAAGATACACAGGGGATCTGAAAGCTAGCCTATGGAGTCTCATAGAGAAAGCGGGGCTAGCCGAAGAACTGTTATAACTTGAGTTTGTAATATATTCTTCACAGTATTTGGTTGATTCTGTTTCTGTAAGGATGGAATGAGGTCGCTCAGTGCATTGCCATTTCCAAATATTTGTAGGAGTTATTATCAGATTTTTTCTTCTCAGGATAACTTCAATCTTCGTCGCCAAATTGTTATATATTTATTCAATAATTGCTTGTCATACATGACATGTCCCACGTTCATCAATATATATATACAGGAAGATACATAACAAGAACTCTAATCGATTTTGAGAGCAGACACAATCGATCTGAAAAGGTCGCGATGTGTAGGCAGATAGCCCGAAGGCCCCATTCTAAATCAAAATCTAATCGTCTCATCAAATTGTCAAAATACAAGATAATCTCGATGGAATTATGAGAAAAATAATAGTCGGCTATTTGTCATGGTCTCGGGATATTTTACCTACGATTATTTGAAAAACTTACAGAGCTCTGAGGAAAAAACGGTTTGCGACAGCGAACTAGTTAGGGTTATCACTTCGGAATAATCAAATAAAATTTTCACCGTTGACCGCCCTGATCTATGGTCTCACCTCTGATTCCCGAACCTCTTCTTGCACACCGGACACACGTTCAGCTCGGTGACGAGCACGTGCTGGCCCTGCAGCGCCAGCCGCATCTCCTGGCAGCGCAGATGCTCCTCGTACAGCAGCCCCTTCATCAGCTGCATGCCGCGCCGCTCTTCGATCACCTTCTGCAGGGCCACCTGCAGATAATCGGGACGATTGAGACGTCGATCCACGATACGAATCAATGCGAGATATACAGTGAATTTTATAAAGTTGGCATCATATTATAGGATTTGTCAAAGGCAATATGATAATAGAAATTGATATCAATTAACTGGAATAGGGATAAGAGGTGAAGTTTACTCTTGGTTTGAAAATTATCTAGTTGATAGAAAGCAGTTTGTGTATATGGGAGGTTCATTTTCTTCAATTAGAAACATATCTTGTGGTGTGCCCCAGGGATCAATTCTCGGACCTATTTTATTTCTGATTATATAAATGCAAACTCAAGTTTGAAATAACAAGGTAATTTGAAATTGTTTGCCGATGACACAACTCTCATTTATTACGGAAAAAATATACAAGAAATATAATTGGCAGTCGATTCCGATAAATCTTCATCCATGTTCATCTCGAAAAAGTTATACCTGATAACCAAATAGATCCATTAAAATTCGAGAATTTTTGTATAAATCCTACAAAAAATTCCATACTCTTAGGTTTAACTATAGACCAGTCTCTATCTTAGTCATATAATAGGCATATTCTATTGCTCAAATTGAGGTCTATCATACCTCGTTAGTACTTGAAATTTATTTATTTCAGTTTCTTTACTCTAAATTGCAGTATTTGATATCGATCTGGGAAACTGCAGCAGAATCTGTTTTGAAACCTCTGAAATCTCTTGAAAATAAAGTCAAAAAATGTATTTATAAACTGCCATTTCTGGAATCAACATTTACACTATACAAACCAAGGGATCTGCTAGATATTAACTCATTCTTCAAAATGAAAGTACGCATTCTCATCCATTCCACTAAAAATAAAAAAAGCACTCGAATCTTACTTTCAATTCCAATTCTGATGCCCATGAGCATCACATCAGACAAAGTGAACATTTGAAAACTGTTTAAATAAATACCCAATTCGGGAAAAAATCATCATATTTTTGTGGAATGAATATTTATAATAGGCTGCCCAACAAAATAAGCTATTGGGTTCGTTACAAAATTCAAGAGTGAACTGAATATAGTAATTTCCCTAACAAGTTCGGAAAATGATACTTTCTGCATGAGTTAGGGACAATATTTTCTCTACAAGCGAAGGAAATTGATTGATTTGTTCAATCAATTATTCCTGCGAATAGGAACAACTAACAATAGTGATATATTCTCTATCTTCTAATAATTAGTGATATATCTATCGTGTGTACCGTTTGAAGCATTATGTAGGTAATCTTATTGCGGAAGCCAGAATGCCTATGGTGTTTGGCCTCTAGGTTTCAGACATTTCTAAGAAATGAGCCAAAAATACTTTTTCTTTATTTGGTGTTTTCACTTATTTACTATTGCACCATTCAATTAATCCCGTGTAGTGCTTCTCATACCTTCCTCAAGACTTTGTTGGCTCGGTGGTCGAGAGCGTGAAGGCGCTGAGTTCGTATGGGGACTCCCACCGAGACCTATAGGTTCGAATCCTAGTTAGGCCATGGATGGTTGTGTTTGTATGTATACCTAACCCCGCACAAGTTTCGACTTATGGGGCGTTTGGTCCCAGTGCTGGGACTAACGAGGTATGCAATTGCAACAACAAAAAAACTGATCTGTGTCGCTTCTGTAGCTGGAAGTTTTTCATCGCAATTCCACTGAATCCAAAATGACAGTAACGCTCTGTCTGTCACTCTGAGAGTTACACTAACTAATACCGAATTTTATTGGCAGGAACAGGTGGAATGTTTCTCCACTGAGTGTATATTTACATCTGTTTAACACATGCGAGTAAGAAGGAAACATATACATTGAGTACAGAAATACTCCACCAGTTGCTGCTAATGGAATTCGCTATAATTTGTGTTTTTATTGACATGACAACAATGGTTTCCCACATCAGATCAATTAAAGGTTATAGGGGGATGAATATAACAATCAATCATTATTTTCCAATATTTCTTCATTTTCACAATAAATAGTGCAATTTGATGGATGATTTTGTACAAACTTACTAAATACTGCTACAAAAACATCTAAAATTTTCATATTGTGTCACCGCTCATCATATTTTGTGAGAATATTATATCTATACATGTTTTCCCGCACTAGTGTGGGAAAACTTTTCAGGGTTTTTCTTGAAAATGGCTGATCATGTAGAAGATTAATTTATCCGTTACATATGGAGTGCACAAATTTGAAATTACTTTACTGGAAGGGATTTGGGTAATTCAATACAAAATTACACATATTTGGTAAATAGCCAGGAAAGAACTTGTTTTCTGTTGAATATCCCGAAAAAGAATTAATATTTTCATCACAATTCTCAATGTATTTCTTTATATACAGGGTGTTTCATAATTGAATGTCAATATTTGGGGACGCAATTCTTGGGCCCATTCTAAGAAGAAAGTTTCATATGAACGTATGACCTAAACATCCTAACTTTTGAGATACAGGATGGTAAAGTTCTCAAAAATTAATAGTTTTTTATTAATATCTGTAATACCACTTCAGATATTCTGATGAAATTTGGTATACATGTACTATGTATCAAGAGGCATCAGTTAGCGTACCACATTTTTTGTTGTTGCCACCAGTGGCGTTCGTATGGAATTTCACATACCTATTTTGGCAGACATTGATGGTACGCCACTGATTGATCTCCAAATTGAAATCATTCCTGAAATTCCCGATCATTTCTAAGCAAAGGACCCTGCAAATTTTCAAGGTAATTTGGGTCCCGGTGGATTTTTCCCAATTTTTGGTATGATGTAGTTCATTTGATTCAATTACATATTGGCATTGCGCCAACCCCCGAAAATGAACAGTTTTTTTGCTACGGGGCGTTGAATTCACATTTTAATCGAATTGATTATTTATTTCTGAGAGAATGAACAATATTCTAGAATTTTTTATTTCATCTAATTTCTCCTATGAATATATGCTTTTTGAAAGAAATATAGAGAGGGGGAATTATCACCCCTAACTCCCATTTTGAAAAACGAAAAAAAAAGAGAATTCGCCTAACCGTCAAAAGTGATAGAAAATGTTCCATTACCCAGAATTATGGAAACCGCCTTTTTGTATTATTGCCCCTCACCGAATGGGAGGCGCCCATGAAAAAAAAGTTCGGTGGATTTCGCTGAATTTTTGATATGATGTACTCTATATGATACTGATCAGAAAATAATCGGGTGGCAATCCTGAAAAATGGACAGTTTTCCTGCTACTGGGGGTTCAATTCACATTTTGAACACATAAATAGACTAGATGAGTACCTATTTGATTCTAAACTTCTTTGCAATATATCATCTCCATTCCCTATATTCCCTAATAATTATTCATCAAAAAATATTTTGAGGGGGGGTTCCTACCCCTTCAAAAAGTATTTTGAGAAATATAAAACAAAAAAAAAACAGTGCTACTGTATCTAAAGAGCATAAGAGAATGATTAATTACGTGAAATCATAGCAAAAGCTCTCTTGCATGATTGCTCCCTCTCCGCCAAGTGGGGGATGCGCATGAAAAACATTTTTGGTGCATGGATTTCCACTGAATTTCCATGAGGTGCTTTTTGTGATTCCGATCAAATCCGATTTCGATTATCAGTACCGGTTACCAAAAATGAGCAGTTTTTTCGGTAGGGCGTGTTGAACTCATATTTCTCTTTTGTGAGATTACCTCGAGAAGAATGTGTATTTTTCTCGACGGGTACAGAATATGTAATATGTATTTTAACTATTTTTTTTAAACACAAAAAACTCATTATTTCGTCCACCCCAACACCTCTCAAACAAATAATAGATATCAAATTCAAGCTATTTTTTCATATATCCAACACTTATTTAAGAAATATTCTTCACTCAATGAACTTGATATAAATATTTCCTGTTTATTTGTATCGTTTTCATGAAATGGAAATCAAAATCTATGGTATAAGTTACTGTCGTTACCGCTTTTCAATATCAAACAGTCACCATCCCAGTCATTATTATTACTATCATTAAAAATCCCGTTAAAAACCATCATTTCAATTCTATCAATCAGTGAGTTATGCCCTCGAAAGTTGGATGAGCAATTGTTTCATTTAGATAGGTATAGGTATCCTAGTAACTGTCAAACTGATTCATTGTTTTTTCGAATGAAATCAAATGGTTATTGACCTGAGTCTTTCAGCCAATGGGAGATATAATAAGTGAAAAGTTGTTATCTCTTCAGATTTGAATTATCTCATTCTCAATCATCATCACAGCACAGCCATAATCACATGGAATACAACCACATTATACCTATATTAAAAATCCAGTGTAAATCCATGCACCAAAGATGTTTTTCATGCGCATCCCCCCACTTGGTGGAGAGGGAGCAATCATGCAAGAGAGATTTTGCTATAATTTTACGTAATTAATCATTCTCTTATGCTCTTTAGATACAGTAGCACTGTTTTTTTTTGTTTTATATTTCTCAAAATACTTTTTGAAGGGGTAGGAACCCCCCCTCAAAATATTTTTTGATGAATAATTGTTAGGGAATATAGGGAATGGAGATGATATATTGAAAAGAAGTTCAGAATCAAATAGGTACTCATCTAGTCTATTTATGTGTTCAAAATGTGAATTGAACCCCCTGTAGTAGGAAAACTGTCCATTTTTCAGGATTGTCACCCAATTATTTTCTGATCAGTATCATATAGAGTACATCATATCAAAAATTCAGCGAAATCCACCGAACTTTTTTTTCATGGGCGCCTCCCATTCGGTGAGGGGCAATAATACAAAAGGCGGTTTCCATAATTCTGGGTAATGAAACATTTTCTATCACTTTTGATGGTTAGGCGAAATCTCTTTTTTTTTGGTTTTTCAAAATGGGGTTTGGGGTAATAATTCCCCCTCACTATATTTTTTTCAAAAAGCATATATTCATAGGAGAAATAAGATGAAATAAAAAATTCTAGAATATTGTTCATTCTCTCAGAAATAAATAATCAATTCGGTCAAAATGTGAATTCAACCCCCCCTAGCAAAAAAACTGTTCATTTCTGGGGGTTGGAGCACTGCCAATATGTAATTGAATCAAATGAACTACATCATACCAAAAATTGAGAAAAATCCACCGGGACCCAAATTACCTTGAAAATTTGCGGGGTCCTTTGATCACTACAATTTTTTCAATCTGATGCACGGTTCTCGCTTAAAAATAAAAAGCTTTTCACTACATATAGTAATATTGTTAATATGACAATATCACAATGCAGAGAAATAGTTTTTATTTTTAAGATCAAATTTCAGAAATACAATTCATAGTTCATGAACTTTGTATTCGTATTTGGTATTTTCGAATTATAACTTCTCATTGTAGTAGGCTATATTAAATTTCGAGAATTTTACCACCCTGTATCTCAAAAGTTGGGACGTTTAGGTCATACGTTCATATGAAACTTTCTTCTTAGAATGAGCCCAAGAATCGCCTCCTCGAATATTGACATTCAATTATGAAACACCCTGTATATTATATCCCCATCCTTTCATGTTCATAATATATCTGAGAATACTCCTTTTAAAGGATTTTTCCCTTCAGGATCAGCAATCAATTAAGAAACACCATGTAGGAAGCTCGTGTACCAACCGAAAGGAACTTGTGGATCCTGGAGATGGGCAGCGAGTCCGGCAGGACGGCCAGCGCCTCCAGCGCGTCCGTGTGGCCCGCGTGCGCCTCCAGCAGCTGCAGGGCTAACTCCAGGTCGGGCTGGGCGGTCTTCGGAGAGAGGACTGACGCCGGCAGCGGTAGGGGGCAGCTGGCTGGATCCAGGATGAGTTTCGTCAGGTAAACGTACGCCTGGAAGAGAGTGGCAACTTTATAGGGTAGGAGGCAGCTGGCCGGATGTAGGATGCATTTCGTGAGGTAAAGGTACGCCTGGAAGATAAATAAAGAGAGAAGCAATATACTTTAGGAGGGTAGGGGCAGCTAGAGTCCCTGTATGTATTTTACAGTTTTGCTGTAATAAGAGTACGGACACTATGACAAGCAATGACAGAAGGCATAACCCTAGAATTTTTTAAATTACATGACCAATTTGGCGGGCACTGACAGTTCATGAACAGGACATTGAATTATTTGAAAATTCAGTTTTTCAAAAAACAAAATGGCTAATTGTGAAGAGAATCATTTCATTTAATCCATCATTTCCCCCATAATAAACAACAGCTACAGACATGGAAACAAAATATGAAGCGGCCATTGTGGGAATTGAGTTCAGCTAGCAAAATTTGCGAAGTGAGTACTCAATATTTGAATTTTTCGATTGCATATGATGCATATTTGAAGGAATTATATCATTTATATTATTTATAATTTCAATTCTAACATAATAGGTGCACTCCAAGAGTGAAGATTTGATAGTGAAACACGAAACGAAAATGCGGAGCCTACATTCTATCAACAGAAAGATTACCAAACTGTTACAGCAAAACTGTCAAATACATACAGGGACTCTATCCAATCAATCAATATCTGTAATATCATGGCTTCCTCCTACTAGGTCAAATCAAATATTTGATTTATATGTAGCTGTACTGGATGACAGGATTCGTAACAACTTTTTAATAACCTGATTATAATTGGTGACGTCACCATATATCCGACGTATGTTAGAACATGGCCAAATGGTGGCCATGACAGCACGATTGAAATGATCTCTAAAATTCAACAATTGCGAACAGCTCATAGACACTTTATTTACATCAAAAACTAATGAGATGTATTGCAAAGATTAATTCAAGTACATAACGACACAGTGGAGTAATAGAATGTCAATTATTCACTAACAGTCCAGTAGCGTAATAACTCAAGTTACCAATTGGTGTGAATCCAATCGAATTTTTTTCTCAACTAAAGTGAAACGAATCTAACACTTTCCTTATGATAACGAATTTTGGGGAAGTTGTAATAACTTATTGAACAGTATACTTGTCCAGTATTTACACAATTGGGATCAAATTGAATGTTGAAAAACTATCTTGTGATTTTTGTTGATCATGCGGAAGGCTAAGACAAGAAATCTTTTTCTAATTCTAATTTTATTATTCCACATTTCATTATTATCATTTGTCTGAATTTCTATTCTATGATCATAGGTATGGCAGTTGTCACTTGTCATTTGTAAAAAAAATCATGGTTGTGTTTGTACAATTTTATTGCAACTCATGTCAGGGTTGTCATTTTCATTGAGTTTATGGTTCGCTGTAAGTTACTTGAGTCCCTTGTCCTGCTTGTCTTATATTCTTATATATTTTATATTGGTGAATCTCATGTGCGAGAATTTCCAAAAAGTAACTTCATCTTTCTTGATGTTAAACCAGATTTTAGGATGGTTCTTCTGGACATTATCTAGATTCATACCTACATAATTATATCAATATTATTATTTTCTATAAATTTTCATATTTTTTTGGTTAGCTTAACATGTTCTGTTGAGGTTAGTTGATTTATTCATCACATTTCGCCTATAATTTCATATTGAGCACTTTCGTTTCAATTTTATTAGTTAATGTGTATGGTCGACCGACTCGGAGTTATATTTTGGTTTTCATTAAGTTTAATAGTACACACAGGTTTGAATCGTTTCAACAGTCAATCTTGAATGTTGAAGTAAATTACTACTTACTTAAGAAACCCTCCCCTCCCTCTATGAAATTGAGTACTGACCTTCCTACTGCCGGGAACCTCCTCCCTATAAAGCCGCTCGCAATACTCTTCCGCCTTCTTCACATCCCCCAACGCCCTCACATAAATGCCCAGCGCCTCCTCGTGCCTCCCGATCTTGCCCAGCACCACTGCCCTCTCCTCCAGCAGCCCGTCCACGGGAAAGCTGTTCAGCACGTTCTCCGGGCTGTACTGCTTGCTGCCCTCCAGGAACTGCAGCAGCTTCTTGCGCGTGTGCTCCGAGCCCGCCGGCCCGTCTGACGTCACTTTTTCCCTGTACTGGTGGATGAGGGCGTTGTGGAACAGGGGATTGGAGTCCTCCCACGTGTGCACCACGTGCTCCAAGTAGGGGATCACTGCTGCTTTGTGGGATTTGAGGAGGAAGTCGAGGATGCGAGGTCGCGGCAGAGCTTCCACTTCGGCTATGTCCTCAGTGAATATCTTCGAGAAGCAAAAATATTTCGATGGAAAATGATTCATAGAAAATGAATAAATAAGTAGGACAGTCATATTGGCAAAAATAGAAACAATAAAAAGAGAAAAGCTATAAATTAGTGGAGACCGGAGTCCGGATCGTTAACAGCACGGCTCGATCTGATCCTGTTTTTTTTTCTTCTTGCGAGTGTGCTCGGAGCCCACAGGCCCGTCTGACGTCACTTTTTCCCTGTACTGGTGGATGAGGGCATTATGGAAGAAAGAGTTAGAACCCTCCCACGAGTGCACCACGTGTTCTAAGTAAGGGGTTACTGCTGCTTTGTGGAACTCGAGGAGGAAGTCGAGGAAGAGCTTCCACTTGGGCTATGGCTTCAGTGAATACTTCGGGAGTAGAGCAAATAATCATAGAGTGTCATTTGACTTGGCAAAAACTCTGTAGGTATTAAAAGTCCAAACATTTGCATTCACTTCTCCTTAAAAGAAGGAGAATAGCACAACAGGTGATAATAATTTACTGCTCTCCAGGAACTGCAGCAGCTTCTTGCGCGTGTGCCATACGTGCTACAAGTAGGGGATGACTGCTGCTTTGTGGGATTTGAGGAGGAAATCAAGGATGCGAGGAAGCGGCAGATATTTCACTTCCGATGTGTCTTCTGTGAATATATCCTAAAATATTTTGATTATATGCAAAAACACATATGCGTGATTTCAATTTAAATGCGCATATAACTGAAATATAGTAGAAACGGAACGTTAAACATAGCATTCGGCGGCGAACTCGGCTATCCAGTACTAACCTTATAATCCCTTTTCTTATCCATAGATGAAAAACCCAAAATCATCTCCACAACTTCTATTAAATTGATCAAAGATCATTGAGGGTACGTGTTTCGGGCTTATATAAACCCATCATCAATTAGTACAAACTTCTAGAAAAAAGAACCTGCATTGACTTAGGTTATAGATGCCATGATTGCTTACTTACATGAAAGTAAAAAAGTTGAAATTCAAATAAAGTAGACAATAACAGAGCAAACAAAGGCAAATGGTCGATGATCTGGAAAACAAACAGTAAAGAAATTTGTAAAGGAAGTAGGAAGTTCAGCATAGGTAAACTCACTGTTCATGTATTTGTGCTTTTCTGTAAAAAGTACTTTTTTTAATAAAATAATTGTCAGATGGTCGGATTCATCTTCGATAAGGGTCCACTTGCCCTTAAATCTCCGAAAAGTGGCAATTTCCCCGAAAAATATCATCAAACTTTTGAAAGTATAATGTGGCTTTGGAAATAACGAGCAAAATGGAAGGAATCACTATTGCAGTGACACTGGCACAACAAAATTTCAACTGTCATGTCAACCAGATAATGGAACACAAAACTAGATACATGGAAATAATAATTAACCAGAGAGAACAACACTTGCTGTGTTACCAGCTGTTTCATTATAGACAAATATCCAGTAGATATCTCTCAATTTTCACTGATGCGCCTTTGTTTGACTCAAACTTGACGATAATAAACAGTTGAAAATCGCAATATAAGGTTCTTGTTACATTTTCTTCTAGATGTCGCTGTACGAATTCTCTTTAAAATGAAAATAGGAACTCAATTATCAAAATTTTATTAAACACTATCTAAAATGAACTTACTTACACAATTTCTGTTTTTTTTTGTGGTAAGTATAAATGATTGTTGTTATTTGGTCCGATGGCCAATAAAAATATGACGATATCAGCGCCTCTTACGGATTTTCAATAGACAAGAACCTTATTAGTGTCGTCAGTTTTTGACTAATGTAACCATGGCAGCTAGCCATATTCTTATAAACATCTCAGTTAAAATATCCAAACAAAGAATAGGTAACGCATTGCTGTTTATCACACTGTGTAGAGATTTATCGATTTTTCTCGACTATTAATAATAGACGGTTGGCGCGTTATTGTACTTAATGTGACGTCAGTATCAATGCCGATTTTTCGTCGTGTTTCTACAAGAGCATTTCTTTGGCAATTTATTTTGGGGATTGGTAGAAGGACCACGGTCAATAACCTTTTGGATCATGTTCGGTCCAATAAAGTCATATTGTTGTTATTATTTTGGGAAATCTCATTTCTTATTGTGATGAAGGTCATAGTATTTTTTTCTAGAAATTTGTGTTTTTGCGTTTAGTATGAAATTTCTTGGATTCTATATGAAACGAATGAATAAGCGGAAACAATGATTCACGTTTTTGCAGAATATCGCACTTACCTTCAATCCCTCCTCGGGCGCCTCTCGCAACACCCAATCAGCGAACTCGAGCACCAGCCCCATATTGTCCACCCCCAAGTGCTGCAAATACCCCACCGTGCGCTCCACCACCCCCTCGGACTGCAGCAGCTCCAGCGCTCTGCGGTGCTGCCCCTTGGTCTGGTACAGGATGATGAGCTCGTTGTGCTTGCCCATCTTCTTCAGGACCTAGAAGTTGGGATTGAAATCCACTATGAACTGTATGCTTCGCTCTTCCAAGAGTTCCTTGATTTGCTTGACATTTGTCTTTTGACGTTTTTGTATATTTAGGCTATATTCCGAATTCAACTGGTCCGCACTGTCAGTAAATCCACTGACTCTGCTGAAAATATGTGCTCAGAAATATGAAATCGAATATATTGTGCTGTGATTCGGAACACGTTTCCATGGTTTTCATCAGTAATCAGCAGCAGTTGATAAGCTGGTGAAATTTGAATATCATTCTCAGCGTCAATTATTTTAATAACAGGCAGACAAGACTGAATGTTTGAGAAACGACGGAAATAAATGTGACATTCCTTCCTCTTCTATAATAATGACAGTTCACTGAAGCCACACTACCTTTTGATAGTCAGGAATTTCAGCAGAATGTTGAGTCGAAATATTTGGAATGAATCGTATGTTTGCTCACAAGTATCTGTAACTTTCAGTGAATTTTTTTTTATTTCGGAATGAAAAATCAGCAGCAAAAGCTGAAAAAGTATAAAAAAGTCTATGTTAGCAACTATTTGCAGCCAAAAACATCTCAATCTAGTTTGCATACATATTTTGTCATTCAAAATATGCATAAGCTTCCTACAAATTTATAACAATAATAATTTATAACGAAAGTTTCTTAGAGAATAATTATATGAATTTTGAGAATGAAGAACATTGTCACATAAATAGTGGAAGATGGTTGAAGTTTGTTGAAGTCTAACTCATACATTCTCAAGCTATAACCGATATTGTGAGATGTAGGAATCATTAAAATAGACCATTTGACTAAAAACCGCCTGACGGTCTGGAAAACACCAAGTCAAAATTGTTTTTTATCTTCAATGAACTGGATGAGACAGAGAGTTACTAGAAAAAGGTAGCTTGGATCGTTATACATAATCGTTTTTCGCTCAATTTTCTTGTAAATCTATGGATACTATTTGCGAAATTTTGAGAACTGCTCAATTCATTGTTCAAACCTAAATAATCCAACAAATTTGTCATGATCTAACAAATAGCCAAGTTGGGTAGGTACTGCTCTTCCTGCGCTATGTTTCAGGAATTTTTCATGAAAATTCATCCAATCATATTTCAAACGGGAGGCCTTTGAACTTTATGGAAAACTGCACAGCTTTAGTTATCATCCTGTAGAATCTCATGCTGAATAGATATAATGATCATGTCTATAAGTTCAAAAGTCAATGAAACGAGCATTCAGAAACTGAAAAATAATGGAAAATTGAAAGTTATGATGATTCAAATTCGGTCGCAGCTCAGCTACCAGATAGCACTAAACCGAGACAAATCATGTTTACCTTCTCGGCCTCCACCAGGTGGCAGCGGTTGAGGCGGAGGAGCGGTGCCACCAGCGCATCGTTGGTCTGGAGGTAGCACTTCAGGAGGGTGGTGTCGATGATCTGGAGCAGTTGGTTGGTGGACTTGCTGGTGGTCTTCTCGTTGAGGTTGCCTCTGGCGTTGATGGTCGCCTTTTCAATTCAATGCAATTCAAAATGTATTGTTTTTTTCTCGAAAGTTTAGCGTGACTGTGACAAAAATCAGAATCATCATCTAGATCATTTTCATAATTTTGTTGATTTCATGATTATTATTTCACAATATATAAAGAATGAGATATGCTCAAGATTGCAAGCCGCCAGACTCGATATAAACTGAGTGATGGAATAAGCTATACATACATTGACAGGGGCGGCGAGTACATGGGAGCATCGGGGCAAATGCACCTATGTAGACCTTGAATACATTCAGAAACGTAGATATAATGAAATCACAATAGAACCAGTTGATTCCACCAGTGGATTCCATCACTTGAGTATCTAATATAATTCTCTGGAATCCCAAAGTTCCTTCATTTCATTCATCATACTGAATAGGTAACATATACCTATCTCATATCACTCTCTTTAATTTTTTGACTTTGGCTTAACATAGAATGAATTGCCAACACAATGATGAGAGCAAGTACTTACCTAAAAGATCCTTTTCGATTTCACTTTCGTCTACATTTCTCATACATTTTTAATAAAGAATTGATTTTCGGAGTAGCTGGCGCATTGAGGGAGGATGAACTGTTTGAATTACAAACGAATAACGTGCAAGATATGGGATATGGACATTGTTTTCAGCGTTCTTATGTCTCGATTTTTTCTGACAGCAGACTTTTCGGCAAACGACTTGGTGGTTGGAAATCCACTGCTGTTACTGAGGGATATATTGAAAATTCCATTCAAAACAGTCAACGTAGCTGAAAAAATTCTTTGTGAATCTGCCATGAGTGTTCATTATTACAGTACTGCTTCTACCAGCGCCGAAACACATAATAATGTTACATATATTCACAGTAAAGATATTAACCGGGATTATTCTAATTCAAAATATCGAACGGCAGTTTAACTGAGCCCTCTATCAATTATACCAATTGTACTATAACAAATCTCAATATGAATGCAACCAAACATTATTCAAATAATGATCATTGATGTTCTACATAATTTGTACTGTTGTTATTGTTGAATAAATAGGTTCTGATCAAGAATTCCTTCATTTCATCAGGAATTAGGACGGCGAAAAAAATTTGTAACCAACTCCTATATTAAAAGGCGATTAATACACCAGTTGATTAAATATCAATTATTCATCAAATAGTTCAGTTTTTTTTCTTAAACTTCTTGGTACAGCCCGGCCGACCCTGCCGTCCCTGACGAAGCCGTCACTGCTATATAGCCCAGTTCTCGTTAAGGAATTCTGAAAACAAGATCTGAGTTCATGTGGTCAATAAAGTGATCCTCCTCTGGGTGCCAGGGCATATTGGAAAATTAACAAGCAGACACAAGGGGCTTCAACGCCACTGATCGGACCAGAGCCATACTGCGGCCTTGGAAATTCCTATTTCCAAGGAGAACTTGAGAAGGCGGAAGGAGCCTGGAGAGCCAGACAATGGAGAAACTTCCAGGACTACGGCAGGCTAAAGATCTCTTTGGAAATTTCAACCGAGAATGATCTAAGACACTAACAAACCTCAGCAAAGGAAGTCTTAAAGCAATAACGGGATTTCTAACGGGGCATTGCAGACTCAAAGAACACCTAAGGAAGCTAGGCTTACAGGAGGACGGCACCTGCAGATTCTGTGAGGAAGAACCAGAAACACCCCATCACATACTGATGGAGTGTGACGCTGTACATCACAAAAGATTGAACATACTGGGAACACACCAGCTGACTGTGGAAGAAATACCACAGCTAGACCCCCTCAAATTCCTGAAGGAATTGAATCTCGAGGGGCTGCTATGAACAAGAAATCCTTGATATAGCAGAAGCAGATGGGGCACAATAGATCTAATTAGGTCACAGCGCATCTGTCACCATCCAACCTATCAATACCAATACCAATGTGGTCAAGACGCGGACTTTTCCTTTATGATAAAAAAAAGGTGGAGAAAAGGAGGTGCAGTAGAAACTCTGTCATTCCCTTCACCTGTGTGTCAGAAGCCTGCAGCTGATGCCGCATCTCCGTCAGGTAGTCGATCAGCGCCAGTCTGCTCGTCTCCAGCTCCTTCTCCGTCAGATCGCGCACGGTTTCAGCCGCCTCGCCCCCTGGCGGCGCCTGCGGCAGCAGATCGGGAAACAACCTGATGACGTCGTAGGCGTCGGTTCGGAGCTTGAGGAACTCGCGCATGCTCTCGTGGAACTGCTTGCGGTGGAACAGGTCGTAGGCCAGCAGGGTCTGGATGTGGTGGATCTTTTCATTCTTTTCGTCATCGGATTCGTCAGAGATTTGCTGGAAAGTTACTTGAATTGTGTTTTTTATGCGCTTGTTATTCTGAATCCATTCAGCAATTCAGTTATTCATTCAAATTGTACGACTAACTGCCCTAAGTATATGATCATTATTTTACTTCATTTCAGTTGGGAGCATGACGCAGAACTTGGCAAAATTTTTATTCTGAACAATTTGGGCAAGAAAAAAAAATGTGTAGATCTCATAAATGTATAAATGACAAAATACCAATACTTATATGCCTTATACCAGCTGATAATCGATTCAAGGAAAACCAGGACAATCTCTTAGTTCAAGATTCATGGTTTTTCTGTGGATACTATTGTGAGTTTTTCAATTTGAATTGGAAAGTTGGTAATATCTTTATATTAGTATTTATTTTAATATTATGCAGATACCGAGAGGACCGTCTATTGGTGTGGGTACTCCGATTTTGTTTTGATCTCCCATTTTACCAAAAATACAAGAAATTTACGGTTAAAATAATCATTTATTATACAAGGGAAAAAAGATGTTAGCCCCAGGTTGTGTTGTATCCAGACGCTTAGCTGAGGGAGACAAAAACCGTGAGCGAAAATCTAATATTCTTCCCGTCTATAATACACTATTTTTTTCTACAAACGTCAAAAAATGACAAGGTTCGCGCATTGAAAACAAATTGCGAAGTGACACTTTTTTTCAGTTTCCTACGTTACCATGATACCTTGCAAAAATAATGCGCGAAGTAAAACAGTGCGCGAAGTACCTACTTCGCGCATTGTTTTGTAAAATATATGAAATATTTATATTTCAACTTCATGGTCCTCAATCGAAAAAACATCTACGAAATCATTTATTTCTGAATGTTCAGCAATACCTTTGTTTCATCTCTTCGAGCGCACGAATGGAAATTCCTATTATGATCGTGGAACATTGTGCATACCTAGGGAGGATAGGAGGAAGCCTTTTAAGCCAGTTCAACAATATTTTTTATATCAAGCTGAGCATATTTTTACTTTAGAACTATATTTTTTGACGTTTGTAGAAAAAATATTGTTTGCAACTCGAGCGCGAAATACTTTGGTCATCTCGACTATTTTTTTAACTCGGCTACGCCTCGTTAAAAAAATCAGATCTCGATCACCAAAGTAGCATTTCGCGCTCTAGATACAAAAATAACTATTTTCTGCCAGGAAAAAAGACGAATCAATATTGGGAACATATTATATTATACCAAAATCAAGAAATTATCGACGTGAAAATAGAAATGTTTAACAGGGATGAAACCTGCGTTGCAGGCATCTTTATCATTCTTTTGAAGTAATCAAATATCCGTCGGGTTAGGTTAGGTCAGAGAATGGATTTTAAAAAATTACGAATTTAGTGGTTGTTTAGTTATTTGCATCATTTATTTATTTAGCTCATTTTCATGTTGAGGTTCCCACGAAAAGGGATATCCTGTAATATTCAGAGAATATCTTGAGAACCAAGGAAAATAAGGTAGGAATTGGTGTTCTTCTTAAATGTCTGTAGGTTATATGCCTCGGGGAATACTTTATGTACGCACAGTAAGCACATAGCACAGTTTTCGTTTATTCCACCAGTATAGGTATGTCATGATCGCGTAATCGCCGTCAACAGCGGATGACATAACTGTCAAGAATTATAATTCAGACTGTTTGTCCAAACTTTTTTGATGTACTATATGACAGTAGGTAAAGTATGGTACGTACTGCGTATTGTAAAGCTTTTCCATTTGTGCGTAATATGCTTCTTACAACACATATTACATAATATACTATTACATAACACGTAACCGTGAATCCGAATGGAAGATAAAGGGACTTGCAGTTATTTCTTGGAGACGGTGTTATTGGGTTATTTTTGGGAGCTATAGCACAACAAACGTCATCAACAGTGTATATATGTGTGATATATATCCAGTTTAATTTTTTGTATTGTGTGGTGGATCATTTGGAATATTTACAAAAGTATATTATTTTTTTAATCAGTGTTTCTGCATACAACTTTTTTATCTTTCACTTTGTTTCAACATTCTTGGTTTTTTACTATAAAACTTTGAATTATACTGGTTTATAGGAAGGTTTGTAAGTACCTATTGATATTATTAATATTGAATAATATTATGGGAAACTTACTGCTTACCTTATTAATAGTCCAGTCACTGACTCACACCTCATCATGTGGTATTGAATAAACTCTTTCAAATTTCAAAATGCTGAAAGTTGTATTTAATCAAAGCAACACTTTTTTCACAAAAATAAACAAGACCTACTATGTGAATGTTGAAGGTGGGAAATGAAAAATTATTATATGAATTTTTCATGAAAAATATTCATCTTAAAGAGTTATCTTGGTTCCAACAAATAATTCTGCATGGAAATGATTTTATACATTCACTACTAGAAAGCAAAATCATTGAAAGTAAGAATAGAATAGCCTGAAAATAAGAGACCAAATGGAAACTTCATTGAATAAGTAATTCAAGTATTATTCAAATAGTATATAGAACTGGTGAACATTTATTTGAGTAGTTGAATTATTGAGTATTTTGACTTTTTTATTCCCTTCTATTGGGGGATCATGAGTTTCACTGTTTGCACTAAATTTTCCAATGGTTTTTTGTTTACCATGATGTAGTATAACATATAGAAGACAGAAGACAACATACATCTATCAACATACAAACTTACTGTCAGTTTGAGAGCTAATTGAAATTGTTTAGCATCAACCAACACTTTCCTCTGCTTAGCTACATCAACAGCTTGAATACACCAAATCTGACTTATTGATGCAGCATATAACAGGCCCTGTTTTGCTGATACTATGTACCGTACTTTTGGTAGTTCATCCAATGTTTGTACCAGACCACTGGGTTCCAAAGTCAAGACCTGAAACATTTCCACAAGTCATGCACAATGGAAAATCCTCAAATTTTGGAAATTCATCATTCTAATTACAGCAACATTTAACATGGAATACTTTTAAGATATTTACTTCTATGCAGTCTGTGAGTATTCCTAGAGCATAAGGTTCATCCCAAGCCAAGATTACTGGTACTTCTGACCATCTCAATGCTTTATTTCGTTCTGTTTCACCTTTTGTATTCACTAAAACTGTCTGTGTTTCTCTACATAATGCAAAAGTAGAATCAGAAACTTTAACTATGCAAGGTTCATTAGAACGGGTACTACTTGTTGGAAACAAATCTGTTTGGGTTCCATCTAACTGGAAAGAGGAGGGTTTTGGGAAAATAATGTCCATAGAATTATTTCAATATATGTCTTTACAGAGGTATTTACTTACCTGTAGGAGAGCATATTCTCCTCTATAGCCCACACAAATTGCTTCTTGGCACCATACTAAGGAGCGGGGTATATCATTTAGGTTGATATCATCCATTAGAGGAAGAAATTCATGATTCTTCAAATAGTACAATTGAACTTTTCTTTTAACCGACACTGCCATGCGAACCAAACTAGTTATTTCACCAGTCATAGAGGTGGTTTTCTGAAGTAAATAATACAATAAGTTCCCAAATGAGCCCACAGCCACATTCGAATTAAAATGAATTACCTTTACATTCATGGTGAAGAAAGTAGCCCCTTTGGATTTCTGAACTTGATGTATTGTTGTGAAATTGATGGCATTTAGATCATGAACTTGAATTAAATTGTCTGTTAGACTAAGGAGTAAGTTATGTTCAGGAATCACTTCCAACTGCTGAACTGCTTTTTTACTGAATGACTTGTTATATCTCATCAACTGAACATCACATTTCTCATCAGTTCTCACTAGATTGTACATACATAAGTGGCCTTGCCGTGTTCCAACCAGCAAATTATCATCTATGAAGAACTCATCTTATATCAAAGTACCTACTACCCTAAAAAGCAACATATACTCACCATAAGCTGCAATAGATTCCACTTGATAAGTAACTTTCAATAGAGGCGACAATAGGTATGCTTGGTGCATTTTTACTAAAAAAGGAAACTTATCCTTCGCTGCTTCTAGTATTTGAAATATCGAATATATGTGATCAAAAATTGACAAATCAACAAATCGAAATATTTATCAACATCAACAAAACAACAAAACGTCAGAAACAGATGTTTGTTGGGTTTTGGTTTTCTTCTTCTTCCGTTCAAATCGTTCATTGTTCACATATATCTACTACTTATATATGAATCATAGCTGTCCTAAAAGCGGGAACAACTTATGTCTCTATAGGCAGAGGACCAATGGGCGTTGATGCCGACGTAAGGAAAAATAATATGAAATTTGTCAAACAAATATGGCTGTTTCCATCCTTCACTTTCCGTCCTTATAGATTCAAAAAGTACCTCTCTTGAGATATGTATAGGCGATGCGCCATATATAGAAATAGTACATAGTCATATCAGTTATAGATTTTGCCGTAAATCATTGACACCTACTAATCATTGGACCTACTAATCCTGACAGCACAGTGACAAGTGACGTACAAGTCTGACATAAATGGCTGAATGTCACAAACGAATTCGAGAATCGAAATGGCTGACACTGGCGGTGCTAGGCTAGTAGTTGGAAGATGTTTCATTTTTTAACATGTTAAATTTTTTCTTATGGTTCATTATAGATAGTTCAGTCAATGATATTGATGTTCTGATGATTCCAAGCATTGCTTGATTTTGATATTATTCACTTTCGAATTTAGGCCTTGAATAAATATCAAAGTTAATCAGAAGGAAAGGGAAAGCTGATTGGAGAAGTGATCATTGTTGATAATATGGATTATTAGTCATCCAGACCAAAGTCTATTATTGATTCTAGATTCCAGTCAAAACAATTCTCGAGGAACAATGGCAAAAAATTCTCAGGATGTTGTGTTTGAGGGATGGTTAACAAAATCACCACCTACTAAAAGGATATGGAGAGCAGTAAGTGATCAACAAGCTACAAAAAAATATCTATTATGAAGTCTATATAGTCCATATTGATGTCATGAGTATGAACAATTATTAGTGATTCATACTTGAAAGATAATGAATGTAAACATTTGCATAATTTCATTATTTCCAGAGGTGGAGAAAAAGATGGTTTTTGTTGACACATTCTGGGGAACTCCCAGGACAATATATCCTTACATATTATACTGATAGGAATTGTAGAAAACTGAAGGGGATCATTGATTTGGATCATTGTGAACAAGTGGATTTAGGGCTGAAACTGGATGAAAGAAAGTTGAAGTTTGATCATGTTTTTGATATAAAAACGCCCACACGTACTTATTATTTGGCTGCAGAAACAGAAAATGAAATGAGGTCCTGGGTATCTTGTATATGTAGGGTTTGTGGTTTGAAGTCAACTAATGAAGATGAGGATGGTAAGCATATTCTATTTGATAACTGAGTATCTTTCCAGTGAATATACAATGTTCAGTTACAAACTTTAGGAGCTCTAATGTTATAGTAATTTTACAAAACAACCTTTCAGTAATCAGTATCATGAAACTATCACAACCAAAAAATTTGAATTCGGAAAATTCCATCAGACATACTGAAGACCCAGTTAAATAACCTTGAAAATAACAATGCAAGTCTGCTTTCCTTATGATAATTTATATTTATTGGAACTTGTTTTCTAGTTTCAGTTGCCTGTTCAGATGTAGAGATAACTGAAGAGCATCCAGAAACAAAAAGAATGACTCTAATGAACAATTTCAGTGACACCCCTCCTGTGTCCCCAGTCAGTCCTAGTCCTTATATACCTGTATCTGAATGTATTACAGGAAAATCTATTTTTGACTCAAGGGTAAGTGATGAAATTCATACAGAAATTAGTCTTATGACTTGAGATATAGTTGTTTTTTTATAATTTTAGTTTATTTAGTTGAATAATTGATTGTGAAGTATTAGTAGACTTTCTTCTCTCTGATCTGATGAGTACTTATAGATATTTATTTATTAACTTGTCAGCATTAAACTTATCTAACATATTGAAACATAATTATATTACTATTTTTCTGATTTGAATAAAGTTTGTATGAGAGTTCATGGACACACTGAATATTCTGTGATTTTAGTGTTTATCAATTCCATATTTTTAAATCAATGTTATGAAGTTTATAAAATAATGATTATGAAATTAACAATTCATATATCTACTATCTACCCATTTAGATAAGACAACAATGAATCACATATTGAAATAGCAAATTGTGTAGCATTATCATAGTAGATTCTCAGAATGTATCTACTTTATTGAATAACAAACAATAAAAATTAGTATAAATTCAATCCCTTAGTGTAGTTTTTCTACATAAAATGAGCTTAGCTTAGGTTAGCTAAAATACTAACAAGGTGATTCAAAATTCAATGTAAATATTTCAAGGACATATTGTTGGTATCCAAATAAGACCTTTTCTTCATTTAAACATTTGTCCTAAAATGCACACCCTCTGAGCTACAGCCACTGTAAGGTGGGTAAAATAAAAATCATGTAAAATTGTGATCATAATTACAGATCACATCTTCTGAAAATTGGCATTCCCCTGTTTTTTCAGACACTCTTCTTTTTTGCTTTGAAAATTATGTTAACCCAGTTTTGGTGGAGTTGGAGGGAAGTCCACACTCAGAATGGGTGAAGTATTATTTTGATCCTAACAATATGCCCTCAAAATATTTACATCAAATTTTGTCTGTCTATATTTTTTTTTCAATTCATTATCAAACATAATCTCCACTAATTCATTCTTCCTTTCAATTCCTTCAGTACAAAGAAAGAAACACTAGTTTTTTTATTTTCAATGTTATAACTTTTGCTTTTGGGTGTATGATAAATTGTTTCCTGTTGAATATTCAGAATGATGTGTGCATATACATATTTTGTCTGAAGGAGAATGCAAATTCTCAATATCAGAAGTTTTTATATTTCATCTTCAAACTCTTATTGTGTGTGTTCAATAGATATAATTCAATGTTCGTCATGGCATATAGCCAGGAAAGTAGTTGTTTTCTATTGAATAAACTGAAAAAGAGTAGATATTCTCATCACATAGAGAATGCCAATTCTCAATGTATTGCTTCATATAAATATATCTATTTTTGTATGTTCATAATTTATCTGAGAATATTCCTTTTTAACAATTATAACTTTTGAGCTACTTCCACGTACCAGAAGTTGTTTTAAATATATAAAATTCTCCTGTCCCAGTCATGGTGTTAGTGGCCAAACTCCTCCAAAACGGCTCTACCGATTCCTATGAAAATTTTTGTCTGTATTAGGTAGGTATGAGAATCCCTCTTAATCTAGTTTTTAAATCGAAAATTCAATATGGCAGACGAGTTTTGTAATCCGATTTTATTCAAAATTGGTATCTGGGGATATTCGGGTCGGAGATTTATGATTTATTTGTCAAAATTAGGAATTTTGAAATGGGGGATCCAATATGGCGGACGAGTTTTGTAATCAGATTTTATTCAATATTGTTTTTTGGGGTTTTTCGGAGTCGGAGATTACGATTCCTTCGTCAAAATTAGGAAGTACAAAATGGCGTTAGATCCGCCATGGCGGTCGAGTTTGTTAATTATGATCAAATTCCATTCAAAATTTGTATCTGGGAGTTTTTGGGGTCGAAGATTATGATTCTTTCGTCAACATTTTGAGATGCAATATGGCGGATCCAATATGGTGGACGACTTTTGTAATTATGCTCAGATTCTATCAAAATTGGTAACTTATAATTCCTTCGTCGAATCTAGGAATTTCAAAATGGCGGATCTAATATAGCGGTCGAGTTTTTTAATTATGATCAGATTCTGTTCAAATTGGTATATGGGGGTTTTCGGAGTCTGAGATAATGATTCTTTCATCAAAATTTGGAAATCCAAGATGGCAGATCCAATATGGTGGACGAGTTTTGTAACTATGATCTGAATCCATTCAAAATATCTATCTGGGGGATTTTGGGGTCGACGTTTGCCGGGTCAGCTAGTTTTTGTAGACTTTCAAGATATTCAAGTATAAATATGAAGAGTATGCACATTAGTATAACTTTCTCATCATACTGTGAATTGTTCGTGTAAATTCGATCGCTTTTAGGATTTTCGAAGCCTTCTAGATCACAATTTAAGAAACACACTTCCAACGAATCACGCTCGCGAAAGTTACGAACTGCCCCAACAAAACTACATGAACTACATGAACCTTCCTGATCCGAGGTTCTACGACTGTCCCAGAAAACTGGCACCGTCGGGACAGAAACATGACGACGACGAAAAGAATCACTCGCCTTTACAGAGTCCCACGGACTCCGATAGCGTCTTCAACGATGACGACTGGATGAATAATACAAATATTTCAGCAGAAATGAGTAAGTTTCAAAAACGGTGCTTCACTTGAAATTTTTATTTTGAAATTATCATAATATGATCATTTCAAAACTCAACTATAATCATATGATAATTTTAAAACAATGATAATTTTTCAGTAACATCATTCGAAATAACCTGCTATTCACTAGTCAAACAAACATTCGGCAAATATCTGTTGGTAAATCGGCAACTGCGCTTTGCACTGTCTTACTACGAGGTACAAAATGTGAAGCAATATCGGCATGGAGTTTCACACTGAATATCTTTTGGTGTGAATAAATAACGTTTTCATATCATACACTCAAACAAATCAATTACCTGCATCCTTGATTATTCACAATAACAAGATGAACCATCTTGATGAGAGCAATGAAGCCAGGAATTCAATTCAGTAGGTGGCAGTGTCTATGAGCGTGAAGATGATGAAGATACTTTTTGTTGAGTAGCAGAGGGTAGAGATCGGTAATGCAGAATATATGTGAAGTTAATTTTCAGATGTTTTTATGTTAGAAGGAATATTGCATCAAGGCCGGATTGAAATATTTTTATTTAAGAGCCTTCATAATATCAAAATTAGTGGTTTCCATGCTTCAGTAAGAAGAATATTTCTAGATAGTTTAGCAAGTATAGACAAATCGGCCATATTTTTCTGAGTTTCACTAGCGCCGCCTACGAACCAGCCAAGAACACCGGCCTATTTCAATTCAATATTTTACATGGAGGTAGATCATCTTGTTAGTGAAGGAATTTTATCCAGTTGAAAATACAGCAACTAGGAATATTTCCACATAGTAGAGAGCCATCAATGTTTTATAGACAATTTCTGTTATTTTTAGATGTACTTTAACATCTGACAACTATGTGTTTCACTCACTGAGTCGTGACGTAAGTAGTTATGAATTGTAACTGTAACTACAGTTTGAATGAGATCGACTTCACTTGTTATTCTGGGAACTCTAGGTGTTACAGTGTTGCCAGGGCACACAAAATAATTTGGTTTTAAATAAAATCTCGAACATTATCAGGAAAACTAGGATATTTTAATTGGTGCTAAAGCATCTTGCAAGCATATAATAATTATTCAATAAGTGATTATTAGGGACCAGGTCAAACTATTGTATTCTGTGAATGTGAATACTGTTGTCATTGCTCAAATTGAATCTTATGAGGTAATTACTAGTTACAAATCTGGCAGCGTCGAAATATGCGGTCCTACTTTTATGTAAAAGCCAGAAGTCAGATAAGATAACGATGAATTTCGGTTCGGTTCATGACGTCATCGAAACCGACGTTTTTCGAAGGTGCCGAATTTCATTATTGAAAACATATATTTGCAATGATTCCAAAATAAAGTATGATTGAATCAAATATTATATTTACAGGGAATGATTAATATAAAATAGGTATGTGGCATTAATTCGACTAGTATGTACATTTTTACAACCCCATTGTTGCAATGAGTTGCTGAAAATTCAAATTGTATTGATGTTTTACCCATAAAGAGTTTGAAAACATAACACGTACTTAGATTATCTACAAGTCGGGTCTAAATCTCAAAAATGTAATCAGTTGTCAGTAATTATTTGAAATTTTCACTTATAGGATAACTGTTTTTGAATAATATTCCACTATACAATCAGACCCCAAAATCTAGCTATTGAAATATGTCGAATCATCCAGTGTTATTTACAGACAATTCGAAACATACGAGACCTTCCGATAGTTCCGCCGATGGTGAGCTCATCGCTACCAAAAAGTTCGTCAAGGTCATAGAGAGGGAGGGGAAACCGGCCGTCGCTCCTCCGCCAAGGCCGCCGAAACCGTCTCATATCGTACCTGCACCTTGTTACCTGAACCTTACACCTTCGAATGCAGGGTGAGTGACGTCATTGGACCCCAACATTGTTATTTTTCCATGAAAAATCATGAGATTGAATTTCATGTCGGAAAAAATGAAGAAGTTGTATTGGTTCTGTCAGCAGGATTCATGGTTCTGATGGTTTAATATTACATTTTTCTTCTTACAAGGTTCAAAAACGTGAGTGAAATAGATGGAAATGAGACGTTGGTATTATTTTCAAAGATCAGCCTTCAAACATGAAAAATGCCACTCGAAACATTCAATAGTGTCTATCAAAATGTTCAACTTATAATAATATATTTATTTGCGTCTATACAAGGTGCCCCAGAACAAAGTACCTTAAATTCTACAAGGTGAACTAGAGATGAAAATATGCCGATTTGAATCAACTTACCTCTATAGTATAAATTCAGCAAATAAACATTGAACAAACACAGAAACAGCAAATGCTGTTTGTAGGTGGTAAAAACAATTCAATCTAAAAATATTCCTGTATTGGAAACACTGAAATGAAATATAGTGATCTAAGTATAATAATAAATACAACATACAAAACATTCACAATATACAATTTTTGTGTTTCAGAAAAATATTAATTTATCAGATAAATTTTAAGTAAAATGAAATATATACATATATATACAAAATCAGGGATACGAGGGTTGGAGGGATAGACAGGGATTTTCACTTCAATCTCCCAATGCCAATAACTCGAAAACGAATTATGAAATTTGATTTCTGTAAAAAATGGTCAATGGATGGGGTCAAGTAGATTTTTTTTGAAGCTTGAAAAATTCAACGCCTACTAAGAGCTGAGCGTCGCGACGCGTCCTAAATATAAATCGATTGCATTGACTGAAATTACGCGCACTCAATAGTACATGTAATTTATGGACTTTTTTGTTATTTACTGGAACTTATTTATTTTAGTCATTTCTGAGTTATACCGGTTTATAGAAAACGTTTCTTGAATGACAAAAATGCGATCACGGATGCTTTTTAAAAGAATGTCATGAATATTAGTTATTTCGGCAACTATCGTAATCGCAATTGTTTTAGAAGCAAACAACTTGGCAAGATTTTTGCATTGCTGACTCTTTTATGCCGATAACGCTGTGCGTAAACTCTTCTTGCTTCCCTTCAATTTGTCCTGCATTCTCCAAACACCAGCAACATGTCTACTTCTTCATCATTGCTAAATTGAACCATTTTCACATAATTATTGTTAGATTTGTTGAAACTGAACAAATTTAAACATTTCTTGTTACAAAACAAAATATGACAATATCTCTGACATAGTAATGACATCTGTCGCCTGTAAACAATTGCGATAACAATGGTTGCCGAAGTAACTAATCTTCATAACATTCTTGCAAAAATCATCGCATTTTTTGTCAATCAAGAAACATTTACTATAAATAAATCGGTATTATTCAGAAGTGAGTGAAATGACAAAAAGTTTATAAATAATATGTACTGTAGAGTGCGCGTAATTTCAAAGTCCATGCAATCGATTTATATATTCGACTCGTCGAGACGCTCAGCTCTTAGTAGACATTGAATTTTGTGACCTTGAAAAAAATCTAATCGACCACACCCCTTGACTACTATTCACAAAAATTAAATATTTTCATTCGTTGTCGAGATATTGGCGTGCGGAGTTTTAAGTGTAAAACCCTGTAAAAAATGGTCTCTCATTGTCTTATAATTATTCATTAGGAGGCGATTGTATAAACGACTGTGTTAACTTGGACTTATCCAAGAAGTAATTCTCCTAACTCCACAGGTAATAGACACATTGCCATAGATACAAACAAATGAAATATTCATTCTTTTGTCAAATGCTGTGTGCCACCGGCCGTTGGTTTAATTGAACAAAATTGATTTTATGCATGAAAAATATTTGTTCTCCAATTCTACAGTAACTTAATTGCGCCGCCAAAATTACTATTTATGTGGTTCAGAGGTTACAGCGAGAATCGCGAGTATTCCTGGGTAGTTTCAAGAACAAACGGAAACCCTAAAGAGTCTGAATAGTCGAACTTCGCTGAACTTGGCCTTGTTACAGTAGCATAACCAAAAAATGGAGGAAAGGCAAATCATTATATGGTGGAAGCGAAAATAATATGCAAAACAGATGTTCTGTGACTAGTATGAATGTTAATTTCATATAAAGTTCATGACTACAGTGAAGTTTTATATTCGTATTTGTAGTGGTATTATTAAAAGAAAAATTTCATTGCATTCAACTAGTTCAGAGATATCAGTAAAATTGGTAGAAGAATAATAAGGAACTTCAAGAATATAATATGTACATGTCAGACGCACTATTGCGCCACCATGTATTATACCAGGTGACCGAAAGTTTCTGTTGTTTTCCTATTTTTTCAAATAACGTCAGAAAAAAATAAAAACGATATCGGCAAATTCCTGTTTCTGTTTTAGGCATATCGCCGGAACAACTCGGAATTTTGAATATTTTTAAACGGCATATTGTATTATTTATTTATTTATTTTATTTATTTATTTATTGAACAAATAACTTCCAGACAGAATAGGCTCTGGTATAAGGAAGTACATAATTATATACCTATAGGTAAACATATCATTATACAAAATATATCAAAAACTGTAAATTGACAAACAAAGAATAGTATTTGTAAAAAAAATGGCATGTTCAATTTTATCCAGTTCGCTCAGAAATAATCAATTTTTTCACTTAATTTTTGAATAAACCTATATTTCTGCAATTTTTTATATTGTCAGGTAGTTTATTGAATTCAGTTAAGGCTGATTGAGTGAATCTTTTTTGTCCGATAATGGAGCTAGCGGCGTCAAGATGAAACAAGTTATATTGTCTTGTTTCATGATTATGAATTTCAGAATTCCGTATCAACATAAAATTCGACTTCAATTTTTTATTTATGATATTATATGATATTTTGAGAGTTTCAATTCTATATATTTCATTTAAAGAATACGTATTTGTTATTTCAAACAATTGATTGGTTGGTGTATCAAATGGGAGACGATACAATACTTTTAACGATTTTCTATATAATGTTGATATTTTATTGAAATTGTTCTTTGAACAAGTTCCCCAAACATTTATTAAATAGTTGATACGACTCAGTATATGAGAGTAGAGAATCATGTTTGCAATTTTAATATCAAGTTTGGGACATCTTCTCAATGCACCAATAATTGGAGATATTTTTTTTGTCAGAACATCAATATGTTTGTCCCACTTCAACCTGTCATCAAACCAAATACCAAGATATTTTATCTGGTCAGTTTGTTTCAAGAGTTCATTTTTTATTTTAAGGTTGAGGTGAATTTTTTGTTTATTTTTTTGGTGAAAAATCATATATTCTGTTTTTTTAGTATTTATCGATAAAAGGTTAGAGTGGAGCCATTTTTCAAATATTTTCAAGTCTTCATTTATCATATTTTCTGAATTTGAAGGATTCTTGCCTTCATATAAAAGTACTGTATCATCTGCATACATGGTATAATTACTCGTGAGACCAATTTCACTGATATTTTGAACATAAAGTAAATATAGTATAGGTCCTAAAACAGAGCCCTGTGGGACACCCTTATTGATTAATAGTTTATTTGACACAGAGTTGGTTGATTTTGTTAGTCTTGAAAATGCGCAAATTTTCTCTAATTCAACCATCTTCATATCTCTTATGGTTTCCGGGCCTCATGATAGACATCCTTATCTTGGACATCCGAAACTATTACTACTTCTACTATTCGCGTTCGCCAAATTCATTAGATGACATTGCGATGACATTCAAAACTAGCATAGATTGAAAATTAAACATGTTTTCCCGTAGTTTTTAATGTCGACTTACAATTTGAAAACACTGAATTCGTGGTCACCCGTTGCACAGTGTTTCCTAGAAAATGATGTGAAAAATAGATAATTGATTTTTTGGTGGTCTCTTTTATGATGTTAGCAAAGAGGCAGAAGAAACCAACGATTCTGGCCTCAACGATTCTCAGCCCAAAGTGCTGACGGATGAAACCTACGATTTCCCGCGTTCGCATCACATCGAGAGCGAGGCGACATTGAAAAGGAAGCACTGTTATAACAATGCTGCGCCGGTACCATGCGCAGATGGAACGGTCTTCAGATATGATATTTCTCCGAAGGCCGGCACAAGTACAGAGGTGAGTTGAAGTTGAACAAACTACATTTCATTATGTATCAGAGAGAATGAAAATATTGATAATTATTTGCCAAAATGGTTATTATGATGATAAAATGAATCTGGTAAGAGGCGTCATCTATCGAGTGTGATGAAACTTTCAAAATGATTTTTTTTTACTCAAATCAGATCAGTTATCTTCCAGAAATGATACTGATATATACACTTCTCCCAGGAATTAACGCACCACCTACAAATACCCAAAAGTTTAAGGTAGATTTTTGTCAAAACTACTTGTCCGATTTGTACGTTTTGGTTTTGAACGACAGGTTATCTCCTTCTGAACAATGGTGTGCAATTTGTATTCGCATAAAAATCTCTTTTCTATGAATACCGGTAGTAGCAATTGTAGCGTGTTTTTTTCGTAAAGTTTGCAATACCCTGCAGAGTGCAACAGTTAAATTATTAAGCTAGAATTGTAATCACGCTTCAGCCTCATCTTTTCTCAACATTCCTTTCTTGGATTCACTCCATTATCTTTCCTATTACTCCAGAAACACCAATTCAAAGCATAACATGATTTTATGGAAAATTAACATCCAAATCTAACAACGAAAAAACGAAACCGAATGCAAAGAAACAAATTAAGCAATAGTGTTAGTAGCGAGTATTTCCGCCTCTGGCACGAATAACTTCTTGGCAACGACGGCTCATACTTAAAATAAGAGATCCTACGTCATTTTGGTCAAGGTCTTCCCATATCTGAATTAGTCTCTGCCGAACGTCTTCCAAAATATTCAAGTTAGGTTCCTCTCATAATCTTCTTCCAAGAATATCCCAGAGATTCTCAATGGAGTTCAAATCCGGGCTTCAATCTGGCCATACCATAGTTGATTGTCGACTTTCTCGACTGATTTATTCCACAATAATGCTCCAAATATGAAAATACATTAGTTTTATTGAAATGAGCAAAATTGGATTACATTTCTTTTTTTATTATTTTTGTTACCTTGGAAATTGTCAAAATTGTCAGTCAAAGCTAACTGAAATCTGAACAGTCATGATATTATACATAGTGCTCCTTATTGAGTTAGTTACAAGTATAAACATGCCGCCCCCTTGAAAGCATCGACTTTCAATACATATAACAAATGAACAAGCCCTATACAATATGAAATAAAATGGTCTCAACAATTGTCTTTTTCAAGACATGAATCATCAGTTGAAGGGAGAATGCAAAGTCTTGCAGCAGCTCTCTTCTTGATACCCATTGAGGTACGCACTGATGCTACACGCACTACACCATCTTCTCCGGGATGGACCTCGGTCACTCTTCCGAGCTGCCACTTCAATGGCGGTAAATTTTCATCCTGAATAATAACCATCATTCCTGGCTGCAACACATTTGAAGCTGATTTCCATTTGACTCGCTGTTGTAAATGTGACAGGTATTCTTTGGACCATTTTGCCCAAAAATGTTGAATCAACTGGGTTAACTGATGATAACGTTTTATCTTGTTGGTATTGTATGGTCTCAAGTCTTCTTGGGGTGTAGCCATTAAACATGAGCCAATCAAAAAATGACCTGGAGTGAGCACATCGAGATCGTCTGGATCTTCCGAAAGTGGAATCAAGGGCCGAGAATTTAGACACGATTCCACCTGTGCTACAATAGTGTTGAATTCATCGTAAGATAGATTCTGATTCCCAATTACTCTTTTCAAATGATATTTAGCTGATTTGACAACTGATTCCCATAATCCTCCAAAATGCGGAGAATAAGCTGGAATGAAATGCCAATTGATGGAAATACTAGCAAAATGATCATTAAATTTTGATTGATTAGAAGAATTATTCAAAAAAACATATAGCTCTTGCAAATCATTGTGAGCTCCCTTAAAATTACTGCCATTATCAGAATAAATATTTTGACATAGTCCCCGTCTGGCAGTAAATCTTTTAAAACAATTCATGAATGCTTCAGTGCTCAAGTCATTCACCAACTCAAGATGGACAGCCTTAGTGGCAAAGCACACGAAAACGCACAAATATCCCTTGATTATTTTGTGCCCTCTAAGCTTGTTTGCTTTGATATTGAAAGGTCCCGCATAGTCTATTCCGCAATTGGTAAATGGACGACTTGGTGTGACACGAGCACTCGGCAGTTGGCCCATAATGTATTGAAAACGCTTAGGTCGGTTTCTAAAACAAATATGACAACCATGAAGGATATTCCTGATTGTACTTCTCCCTGATATAGGCCAATACTTGAGTCGAATTATCGCTAGTAAGGCCTGTGGACCTGCATGTAAATTCTTACTATGCTCATGCAGTACAATTAGATTCGTAAGAACGTGATGCCTAGGTAATATGATTGGGTGTTTTTGATTATATGATATATTAGCCCGCTGCAAACGCCCCCCTACCCTTATCAATCCATCATTATCCAGAAAAGGATTGAGTGAAAGGAGATTGCTTGTTTTAGCGATAGGATGATTTGCAATTATTGCCTGCCTTTCTACCCTAAATGCTTGCTTTTGAGCCACCGTGATTAAAAAATTTAATGAATATTTCAACTCATTTACAGTGAGATTACCAAATGATCTTAGATCTGATGATAATTTGCAGTTCTTAACAAACCTTAAACAAAATGCCCATACCCTTTGTAATTTATTCAAATTAGAATACCGATTGAAAATATCCGCACTTGGGATTGCAATAAACGTTTGATGAATAACTTTCCTTTCTGGAACGTCCTGAACCACAAATTGTCGCGTAGCCGGCCAAGATATCTCAGGTTTAACTAACCATTCAGGACCATTCCACCACAATTTACAAGATTCCAATTTTCGTGCATCAATTCCCCTTGATATTATATCAGCAGGATTCTCCTGAGATATAATATGACTCCATTGCTTAGCCTCTGTTAAACGTTGAATTTCGGAAGTACGATTCGCGACAAAAGTATTCCATTCTTTGGGTTCACCCGCAATCCAAGATAAAGTGATAGTTGAATCGCACCAAAAATATGTTTTATTTACCTCAATGCTCAATGCCGATATGACTTCCTTTGCAAGTTCTGCTACAAGCAGAGCTGCACATAATTCTAATCTTGGTAATGAAATTGATTTTAGTGGTGCAACTCGTGACTTTGCACATGCTAAACTAACCGAATGGTTCCCGCTTTGATCTGTTGACCGAATATAAATAGCTGCGCCATATGCCAATTCTGAAGCATCCGAAAAACAATGAAGTTGAATATGTACTGCGTTATCACATATTATTTGCCTAAAGATTCGTATATTTTCCAGATACCCTATTTGATTTTGAAAATGTACCCAAGAGGTATGAAGATCCAATGGTAGAGATTCATCCCACCCTGATTGCAATTGCCATAAATTTTGCATGATCAGTTTTGCTTTGATCACTGCTGGACCTACCAAGCCTAACGGGTCAAAGATTTGTGAAATCACAGATAATATTGTTCTTTTTGTAACTCGAGTTTGAGTCCAATCTATATTTATTTTATAATGAAATATGTCCCTCTCTGAATTCCATGAAATACCCAAAGCCTTAATTGTTTTGTCATCTGATAAATAATGTTCTATTTCCTGATGCTGCTCTTGTAAATCATCCGAAAGTACAAATTCATTGTTAGAAACCCATTTCCTTAAAATAAATCCTACAGACTTAAGAAGTTCGCTTATGTCTAGTTTCAATTGTTTTGCCTCCTGTATTGAACTTGCTCCCGTGAGCAAATCGTCCACATAAAAATCTTTCAATATCACCTGACTAGCTAACGGGAATTCCTTCTGATTATCTAACCCTACCTGTTGTAAACACCTCACTGCCAGAAAGCTAGCTGATGCCGTACCGTATGTTACCGTATTGAGCCGATATATACCCAATGGATCCTCTGATGAGAATCGCCATATAATTCTTTGAAGATCTCTATTATTGTCTGAAATGAGAACTTGACGGTACATTTTCTCCACGTCCCCAGCTATTACTATAGAATGTTTCCTAAATCTCAACAAAATATCAAATAGATTTTCTTGCAACTTAGGACCAACCATCAAACAATTATTCAATGATAGCCCTGTATCTGATGCTGCCGATGCATCAAATACCACCCTACATTTTGTTGTTATGGAACTGTCTTTGTACACCGCATGATGAGGTAAGTAATAAATTGTAGAATTTTCCTGACTATCATTATTAACCCCGCCCCCCAATCCTATGTTTGCCACCATACTCATATGGCCCAAATCAATGTATTCCTGCATAAAATTGTTATATTGAATCCGAATTTCCTTGTTCATTTTCAATTTCCTTTCAACTTGATAAAATCGCTTTAAGGCTGAATTGTAAGAATCTCCCAGATTAATGATGTTTTCCTTTAGTGGTAACTTTACTATGAATCTCCCGTCTCTATCCCTAACCGTTGTTTCTTCAAATAATTTCTCGCATGCTAATTCCTCTTTAGTAAAATGTTTTTCTTGCCTCAATTCCTCTACAACCCAAAACTTCTCCATTTGATCCTGTAGGGATATTGTTGATGTAAAATTACAAAGACTCTTTGTTGCACTATCAAATGATGCTACCGGACCCGCAATAACCCATCCTAATTTTGTTTTTTGCATGACTGGCCTATTTTTCCCTAATTTGATTTGCCCTATACAAATCAAATCCCAAAAAACTGATGCTCCCAATAGCATATCAATTTTGTTTGATTGTGAAAATGTATCATCCGCCAATACGATATTTTCCGGTATAGATAAGTTGCTAGCATTTATCCCGTATGCTGGCAAGCTTTCCGATATTGTGTCAATTATCAAGAAAAGTGTTTCAAATTTGAAATTGTTCACCTTGGAAAAAACGGTTGCCTTAACTGAATGTTTTATGTTAGTTATTTCTTGACTAATACCTACCACTGGAATGTTAATCATCTGCCTTGGTATTTTTACCCTATTCCATAGTTCCTTTGAAATAAAATTAGATTGAGACCCACTATCGAGGAGCAATCTACATTCATGTAAACCTCCGTGATTGTCCGAAATATAAACCCGAGCAGTAGATAATAAAATGTCCGATTGATTACTATTTAATGTACATGTGAAACTCTGTGATGTGTTATTTTGTGGCACCCCTTGTTGACCATAATCCCTGAATTCTACTTGCCCTGCCTGATTGTGTTTTGAATGTTGTGTGTTTGCGCATAACCTTGTGTTCCCCATTGAACCTGAAGCTGTATTGCCCTGCGGCCCTGAATAAGACCCTGTATTTCTTCGTAGACCCGAATAAGACCCTGTAATTGTTTGTGACCCTGAATTGGACCCTGTATTGGCCTCTGTATCCGAAAACATCCTGTTGCCCTGACGTGAGTCCGAAAATAAACCTGGTGTGTTGTTAGTCTGATGTGAGCCTGAATTGTCCGATCTGAATTTTTGAAAAGTTTGACCGATTGTGTGTAAAAGTGTATTGTGTTTCTTACCACAAAGTTTGCATCCACCCATTGCACAATGCTCCACCATGTGTCCGCTTCTCAAGCAATTCCAACATACATTGGACTTTTTTACCTGTTCCCGTTTCTGCAATAATGGTAAATCTCGAAATTTCTGACATTGGTACAAAAAATGAAATTCTTTGCAAACAGAGCATGGTCTATTTGTCATTATAAATGATCTTAATGGTTGCCTATCCGTGCGACCCTTCAATTCAACTGCTTTGCACATCGGTTTATTGGAGTCGATAGTTTCCAAAAGTTGACACCTTTTTTCTAGAAACTGAAGAAAATCTTGCATATTCGAAAACTCATTAATTGGACATATATTTTGCCATTCCCTTTTTGTTAGTGGATCTAATTTGCTTTCTAAAATGTATATTAATAATGTATCCCAAGAATCTACCTTCTGTCCCAATGATTTCAATGATCTTATGTCCCGTTTTATTATGTCAACCAATTTTCTCAACTGCGTGAATGATTCTTTCTGCATTGGCGGAAAGTTGTATAATGAATCAATGTGACTGAGCGCAATCAATTTTTTGTTTTCGAATCTATCCTTGAGAATTTCCCAAGCCTCTCTATAATTTTGTTCTGTTACTTCTAAAGCACGAATGACATCGGCTGCTTCGCCTTTCAAAGCATTTCTCAAATAATAAAACTTCTGAATTCCTGTTAGCCCGTTATTAGTATGTATGAGTGCGTTAAATGTATCATGAAACTCTAACCATTCTTTATAATTGCCATGAAATGAAGGAATTTCCATGGTTGGAAGTTTTACGTTCCTTTCCATTTGTTGTAACCCTGACTTTCCATCCTGAGCTGAGGAAGATTCAAAATAATCACCCATTTTGACTTCAGCCCGAGAAACCAGATCAAAATATGCCTCTTCAAATAGCCCTCGCGCAACAATTTGCAATTCTGAATCGTCAAGTTGTTCAATTTGTGACTGAATACTCTCAAATTCACCCCAACATTCTCTGCATTTCTCATAACGTGAAGGCAGTTGTTTGAGTTTGTCTTCCGACCAATTCAATAAAAATGACTCAAACCTATTTAAAAAGCCCATGATCATATTTCTTTTGTGAATAAGTTCATTTAACTCAGCCATTATGCACAATTACTTAATTGACTACTTACCAAAAATGTGAAGTAATACTCTTACCAAGAATTCAACCCAAATATAGCAAAACACAAATGAAATTTATTTGAACCAACAATATTTATGCAAAAAGATACTATACCAAAACCGTGTACTCACTCTCGATGCAATTGGCTACCCCTACCGTGCAATATGTCTCATTAAATCATCAATGATTCGACCCAAAATAGCTCCTTTTTGTGTTTCCGCCAACGATCTGCAAGTGCCAAAGTCTTCCGTTCTTGTGATCAGGCGAACTATGCCGAAAATACCTTCTACCACCAGATGATCTGCTGCAGTCTGTGCTCTGTCCTGCTTTTCCCTTACTGGAATGAATCGCCCGAACCAGATTTTTCCAAGCCCCGAAATCTGCTACGTGCCTTCTGCTGTTGTTCTTCGTTGAATGCAATTTCAAACGATCCGAGTCGAAGGACCAATGATTGTCGACTTTCTCGACTGATTTATTCCACAATAATGCTCCAAATATGAAAATACATTAGTTTTATTGAAATGAGCAAAATTGGATTACATTTCTTTTTTTATTATTTTTGTTACCTTGGAAATTGTCAAAATTGTCAGTCAAAGCTAACTGAAATCTGAACAGTCATGATATTATACATAGTGCTCCTTATTGAGTTAGTTACAAGTATAAACAATAGTAGCGATACCGACTTCTTCTAGATAATTGCTTACAACTCGGGCGACGTGAGACCGTGTTTATTTATTTATCTTGAATCAATACCTGATCGATTCCATGTAAAACCCACATCCATATTGATGACGTAGTATTCAGTGTAGTATCAACTTTATTAAATAGATAGTTGGGTTTGCTCACATAGTAGTAGTATTTCCGTATCCCGCATCATGATGGTATAATCAATAAAACTTGACATTTGTCATCTTGCATATCTTCACATAAGAGTTTTCGAACGGCAACTCTGAGTAACCTTCAATGATATATTTCTGATCAGGTGACCATACTTTTACTCTACTCACAGGAGTAGGGTTCATGAACGCAGCCCTGAAAGCATCTGTAACGTCGTGGATTGATTAACGCAGAACATATCCTACGATGTCACGCTTCCTTCCAGGTGTTCCGCTACGACTTCGAGGAGCATCAGGCCCACCCCGAGCCGCCCTCGCCTGCCCACTCGCACTCCTCCTCGGCGCCCGCCTACTCGAACCTGCCCAGCCCGGCGCCGTTGAACGCGCCTGCGCTGCCCCCGATGCCGCCGCCCGCCGTCAACAGAGAGCTGAAGCCGAGAAGGAAGCTGAGCGACTCGCTGTCGACGGCCTCGAATCCGGAGCCGTCGTCGCCCAGGCACGCGCCTGCGCCGTCTGTGGATAGGAAGCTGAAGCCGCCGACGCCGCTGCAGGTGGGTGGGTGTGTGGTTGAGGTTTGATTGATTGATTGTCTTTATTACCCCAAGAAACATTTCTGTTTATGATAGGGATACAAAAATACTTACATATGAAAAATAATAATAAAGGGTTAACTATAATGAATTCCACTCAGTGGAAACGAATTAATATTGTGTCTTATAAGATTAAAGTTATATTTCATTCCTAAGTAATCAAATCATGCCACATATTTTTCATTCAAATTGTCCTGAGCAATTATTTTTTAAGATTGATTTTAAACCTTCTTGCATCATGTATATTTTTCAACTCATTCGGTAATGAATTGTATAAAATTATTCCATTGTGAAAAACAGATTGTTTGCCAATGTTTGACTTGAATGTATTTGCTACCAAGTACCTAATTCAATTGTCTAGTCCCATAATTATGGACTGTATTGACTTCATTGAAAGCTAAATTTGATATTTTCAATTTATTCCTGGCAAAATGAATAAAGCAACATATTTTAAGATTATATAACGAAATCAGGTTCAGAAAATGTCTTGGTTTGTATAAATTTATCGTTGGTTCTGGGAAATGCACTTAATTGATTTGTTTTGTAATTTCATTAGTGGTTTCAGACGTGAAATATTTGTACTCCCCCAAATATAAATTAAATATTGCAAATTTGAATAAATGAGGCAAAAGTAAATACATTTCAAGTACTTTATGGGAATAATATTTCGGATTTTGAATAAAATGCCTATGATCGGATTTATTTTATTTCCCAAATGGTCTATATGTTTAGTCCATAATAATTTTTCGTCGATATAGAGACCTAAAAATTTTGTCACGTCTGTATATTTAATTAATCTATTGTTGAAAGTTATAGCATTATTCAAAATATTAACTGATCTTTTGGAAATATACATATATGAAGATTTGTTATAATTAAGAGTCAACTTATGAATTTGCATCCAAGATGATATGTTTTCCAAATCACTTTTAATATCCCGTTCGATATCATTTAATTCTTTCGATATATTACTCAATGTTGTATCATCCGCAAATAATTTTAGCTTCTCTTTCAATTTCAGAGTTGATGTTGAATTAATATAAATTAAAAATAAAATTGGTCCCAGAACTGATCCTTGCGGTACTCCACATGTAATATTCTTTAGTGAGCCAGAAAAAATCATTCACTTCAACATAATGCTTTCTATTTGTCAAATTCGAATATCTTGTTTCACGCCCTTCGAAGGGTGTGGAGACAGGAGGAACTTGAAATCACAAGACTAAGAGATTTTGGTGAAATTTCTTGAATTGATTATCAGTTGGAGCAAGACAGACTGTTTCAGCCTTGCCGGCTGACAATCGATTCACGAAGGGTACTACTACATATGGAGCTAATCAAGTGTCCCCAAGGGTAGGACGATCTAGTCCTAAGAGCCATCTAGTGGCAAAAATGCAAAGGTGTATAAGTATAGATTGAATGACGTTTGAGTGTAGAGTAGAGTGTGAAGAAATAATGAGGCACAAGTATGTTTTATAAGAGATGGAATGTCATTATTCTGTACATTCATTGAACGAGTGCAGACATATTATTATTTGAAACCCTAACAGTGGCGTAACATCAAAGACACATAATGCTCATTTTGTAGCTATATGATATGATACAGTGTGTCCCACTTACCATGCACACCATGGATATCTTTTTAACGGTGAGAGATACGAAGTCAGTTGAATGACACCAAATGTGGAGTTTGTCTAGGCCACAAATACAAATTACTTTTTTTCTCTTACAGATGATATGTCGCAGTAATAGTTTTGTGTTGATAACAACGGAGTTATCGTCATTAATTTATACAAAAACGAAAATTTATTTGTAAGCTGCCATCTTGAATTTATAAATCTCAACAAAAAATCATGATCTCCGACCTCAAAAACCCCCACTTACCAATTTTGAATAGAATTTTTGTTGAAATTTAAAAAAAATGGCTGCTCCAAGATGGCGGACAAGATTTGGTCCGATTCCATTCAAAATTGGTAAGTGGGGGTTTTTGAGGTCGGAGATCATGAGTTTTTTGTTAAAATCTATAAATTCAAGATGGCGGCTTCCAAAAAATTTTTTGTTTTTGTATAAATGATAACTCCGTTATTATCAACACAAAACTATTACTGCCACATATCATCTGTAAGAGAAAAAAAAGTTATTTGTAACTAAGTCATAGTGAGCTATGACCTACATTTGAAAAACTAAAGTTGGTGCTGATATCTCAAATTCTAGAAGAGTTGGTATAAATTTTATATTTTTTTCGAAATCACTTTGAAAAACTGCCATGAGAATGTGAAATTCCAATTTGAATATTTTCATAGATAAAGAAATCTGAAATGATCAAAATCCGTTTTTTGACTATAAAACAAATACGAATAGATTTTATCAAAATATTTTTTCACATTATAGTTGGCCTTGACAAACTCCACATTTGGTGTCATTTAACCGATCTCGTATCTCTCACCGTTAATAAGATACCCATAGTGAGCATGGTAAGTGGGATACACTGTATATATACTCACCGGCAAAAAAAATCGGCCACCATAAAAATGACCCAAAATTATTCATCCTGTAACTTTTTTAATCCTTGTCCGATTTGTGTGAAATTTCGATCAAATTGTATATTTATGTTATATGGAAATCTGATGACTTGTCGTTATACAGGGAAAAAACAAAGTTACCTTTTCACCCTTTACTTCTTAACGCCCTGTGGCAAAATTGTGTGGTTGAACGTGGCTTCATTATGCTTCGGATTGGAGTGTGATCCCTTCTCAACACAATTGTTTTTAATTCAGGTCAATATTTTATTTTTAAGCGAAAATACAAGTGTTTTAAATGGTAAAGTGCCATTTGTAGACTACAATTTTTTTTTTTTTTCAATTTTGTGCCACATTGATTTGACTAAAGTTAATAGGCAGACAAGTTGTATGCGGAAACACCAAATACATTCAGTCCTACTTACTCTTTCCATGAAATTTGAAAATATTGATATACAGGGTGTTGTTTCGACTTGAAACCTACTTATTGATTTTTTCAAGGCCGGCCATGGAATAACAGTTTACTTTATTATGTCAATCGTCACCACTGTGGACAAAGAACATACAAACCAAATATCAAAAAAATGGAGAAAATAAATATATTTTGTATGCCAATTTCCCAATGAATCACCCTGTATATAACATCTCCAACATGTTCGCGTCCTCAAATGCCACAATAGTTCCGTCATTCCATTTGCAGGAGGCGCACATGAGGAAGCACTTCAACGTGGACGAAGACCACCGCAAGATAAGGGCCGCCCCCAGCCCTACCCCGCCCAGTATCGGTCGTTCGCACGACAGCCTCCTGTCGCAGAACGACTCCGAACAGGCCTACCACTATCTGGCCGGCAAAATGCAATATCTCGACCTCGACCTGGAGAATTCCACTTCCGGCTTCGCCAGCAACAGTACAAAGAGCCTGCCCAAACAGCAGGAGGACACGGTGTACAAGAAGGTCGATTTCATGAAGACGCAAGCTTTCAATATCACCAGGAATATATTGGAGAGGGAGAGACAGGAGCCGGTTACTTTTGTCAAAAAATAGTTTTTTGAGATATTCGGAGAGTGTTGAATAGTCGGTTCTGACATTTTCGATATGGTGAAAGTTTGTGAGAATTCTTTGGAATGATTTGAAATCCATTGAAATTTCAAGGAATTCTTGGAATCCATTTGATATCTTCTGATAATTCTGATTCCCAGATATCATGGGCTCATCCTCTTCATGCCTTGGAATGCATCAAAACCCTTGATTTTTTTGTCACTTCTTCAAATTTCTTGAAATTCCATTGGGGATCCTTGAATTGCATAAATCCTCGGAAATCTTTATGAATTTTTGTAATACATAATACATCATGATACATTGGGATTCGTCATGATTCGTTATGAATCTTGATAATTCATTCCTTGTCTTCATCAAACCTTGGAATACCTCATAAATCCTTAGTATTCCTCATTAATTCTTGGAATTCCTCATAATCTCTTGGTAGTCTGATGACAATCCCTTGGGATTCCTCAGAGACCATCAGGATTCTCCATAATCCATTGTGATTCTATATAAATCATTGGGATTTTACACAAATGTTTGGGGTTCTTCATAAATCTGGTCTGCAAAATGCAATATCTCGACCTCCTCCTGGTAAATTCCACTCCAGGGTTCGTCAGCAACAGTAAGAGCCTGCCCAAACAGCAGGAGCACACGGTGTACAAGAAGGTCGATTTTTGGAATATATTGGAGCAGGAGAGGCAGGAACTGGTTACGTTCGTCAAAAAATGGTCTGATATATTTGGAGAGTGTTGAATATTCGGTTCTGGAATATTCCATATGATGAGAGTTTATAGGAATTCTTCGGAATAATTTGAAATCCATTGAAATTTCTGATTTCCAGATACCATGAATTTATTCCGAATCCGTTCTAATTCCTAAAATTTCTTGAAATTTCTTCATTTATTCAAATACCTCTAGAGATCCTTGGGGTTTTTTCAATATTCCGTGAATTCTTTGAACTCATCCGAAAATATATGATATATCTGGGAATTCTTGGGAACTATTTCAAATCCTTCTGCATTATTCAGTTTATTTTTTAAATTTTAGATTTCTGAGGATTCCTTATGATTTCTTGTAATTCTTTCACTTTTTCAAAAATGATGTAATAATTAGTGGGAAATTTTAAAATTATTTCAACTTCCTTGAACTCCTCCATAATTTCTTGGATTTTTATAATTCCATTAGATTCTTCATTATTCCTCAAAAATCTCTATTATACCTTGAGATGCTCCATACAGTATGGTGGAAATGTATGGAATAAATTCATTATCTCTAACGCATATTAATTTGAAGAAAAATCCTGAGACATGTCGATTTTTATTTTCAAATTGTCACCTCTTGATATACATACGGAGTTTGTGTTGACGTCATCGATTATTTTTTAAAATGGAAACATCCCCTTCTTATTTCTTTTTTCGGAAGTTATATTCATTGTCCATCCAACCATATACTGATATTAGCAAAATGAAGTAATACAGGGTGAGAAAAAATTATTAATTATTTTATATTTTCAACGGAAACAATTACAATTAATGAAAAATTCGACCTGTATACATCAGAAACAATGTATATCGTCATTTACATTATATCATTGCAGAAGGTCCCCAATTCGAACATTTATTGTAACGGTTTCCATTGTAAATATAAAATAATTAATAATTTTGTCTCCCTGTATTACTTTATTTTGCTAATATCAGTATATGGTTGAATAGACAATGAATATACCTTCCGAAAAAAAGTAAAATGGGATGTTTCCATTTAAAAAAATAATTGATGACGTCACAACAACTACGCGGATGATGTAACAAACTCCGTAGGTATATCAAGAGGTGTCAATTCGAAAATAAAAATCGACTTGTCTCAGGATTTTTCTTCAAATTCATATGCGTTAGAGATAATGAATTTATTCCATACATTTCCACCATACTGTATAATCCCTTGACAATCGGGTTCTCCCTAATTCCTTGCAATTTTACATAATTCCTTGTGAATGTTCTTAAACCTCGATATGTTCCCTAAATTCTTGTGATATTGCATAATACCTTGGGATACTCCACAATCCCTTGAAATTCATGATATTTCATTATGATTTTTGATATTTCCTTCAGCTTCCTCATAAACCCTTGGAATTCCCCATAAGAATGCTCATAAATCCTTGTGAATCTTCATAATCCCTTGGGAGTTTAATCAAGAATCCTTGGGATATTTCATAGTACCTCGGGATTCTTCAGACACCATTAAAAAATGTCTTCATAAGTCATTGGGATTACTTATAAAATATTAGAATTCTTCAAAAATGACTCTGAGATTCTTCATAAACCTTTGGGACTCCTTGTATAATCTCTTGAGATTTTGCATAATTCCTTGAAACACTTAGGAATGTCAATAATTCCTTGTGATTCTTCATGAATCTCCAGAATTTATTATCTAAGATTTTGCAGTTAAATTCAAATTGAAATATCATATTATTTGTTGATTGATAATCCTCATTGTTGAAAACAACAAAAAATGTATTTTTTCTACAAACGTCAAAAAATGACAAGGTTCGCGCATTGATAACAAATAGCGAAGACACTTTTTTTCAGTTTCCATGATACCTTGCACAAAACAATGCGTGAAGTAAAACAGTGCATGAAGTACCTACTTCGTGCATTGTTATGTAAAATATTTGAGCAATTATATTTCAACTTTATGGTCCTTAATCGAGCAAACATCCACGAAATCATTCATTCCTGGATATCCAACAATAACTTTGTTTCATCTCTTGGAGCGCACGAAAGGAAATTCCTATTTTAAGGTGGGAATATTCTTCCATTGACAACCGTCTTTCACAGTTTCATGTAGCCAAATAAACTGAAATAATTCAAATGATGGCACTGATTCACAATCTTATTTTTAAAACAAATCACAATTTATATCCAATGGGTTGTAATTTGCATTTATCTTCTAGCAACAATTTAACTTGCTTAAGACTCAAAAAAATTGTTGAATCCAAAGAATATTTTTTATTATAGAAACCTACTCTACTATTAATTTTTTATGGAAGTAATGAAAAAAAAAGCATTTTCTAGCGCTAGTTACAAAAATATATACAATGATAGGAATCCTGAATAATTAAAGAAAAATCAAAACACAGGTATACTAGTAATTTAATAAGGAGGCTAGGGAGTATTCTTATATCTCTATCAGGAGCTTTAGATTATTCAAAGTGCAAAAATTGTTATGTATTTTTCGGAAAATGTTGAGCTTTAAATACAAAAGTGGCCATTTATTAAAAAGTATAGAAGCATATCAATATTATCTTTTGATATATTTTATATCCTTTGTAATTAGTATATTGTTTAGAATTTATATAAAATTTAATGATGTTGTCTTGCTATGTTGTATACAAATAAACAAATATATAATTGAAGTAATAATAATTGAAGCATTATTTACTGGTCCATCTATTTGCTATCACAAGCAGAATTTCCAATAATTATTCTGAATATTTTTGACTTGGTCCAGAAAATATTTCTAATACAAAGTATAATAATGTCATCCAACATATCTTCACACTGGTGTTATGTTGCCACTTAGAATTTCTATAGAATATTCATAAAAAATTATATGTTACTAGCTGACCCGGCAAACGTTGTTTTGCCATAACATTATTTCTAGAAAAAATGTTTTACATAAATATTTATCGAAGAACTTTCATTATTTTATTTATACTTCTTTTTAGTTCAGCTATCCATAGAAACGTGGTTCTTTAGTTTTTCAAACTACTATATTTATTGCAATAGCTGATGCTGATACCTGGCACATGTTGTTTTGCTATATAGGTACATTTACTTCTAGAAAACATTTTTTTAGTTAGAATCGGTCCAGCCGTTTTGGAGGAGTTTGACCATACTAACACCGAGACCGGAGAATTTTATATATTAGATAATTAATGTTGATATGACTCTGTTAGGAATCAAAATTTTGCAAAGCTTGACCTAAATAAAGGATACTCAATTCTGTGGTGGAGTCAAACTTTTTAGAAAAAATCTGCTCAAACAAAAAAAGATTGAATCAGTTGAAAACTAGATTTCATAGGGTGCTCTGGCCTTGAGTGGATACACTTTATATAGTATATACCTACTCTTTGCCTGGGGATGAATCAAAATATCACTAATCAAATACTGAAAAACAGAAAAACAATTTATTATTTAATGAATTTATCACAATTATTGGAATGCTTCAAGCTCAATTACTTGTTCTTGATAAAACCACTAATCTTTGCACCTAGTCATCTTTGGACTTGTCAATTCCCTCCAATTCTTCAAAATCACATGTATATTTATTGAGTATATACAATGCCAACAGTACTGGTAATATTGAGAACAGTACCACAGCATTGAATTTTATCATATCACAAACAATTCCAAACAAAATAGGAATAGTTAATCCTACAAGTATCCCCACATAGTCATTAACATGATCCAAAAACTCATTATTTCTCTCTGAATAGACTTTTCTCCAAGAAGTGGTAATGTAACTTCTTCCAAATGTGATAGGTATGACTGAAAGTGCAAATAGTGGATACATTGGGGAATAACAGGCTATCAGCATGGAGAAAAATAGCACAACTAGTGCCTGTTGACATAAAATTATTGCAGGGATACTGCTCAGCTTTTCTTGCATATTTTTTGTGACATAAGTTGCTATGAACATTGCTATGTTGATGTAAGCAGTAGTACACCCTATAGTGACAGAGTCTGACTGATAATTTGTTTTCAGAATCATTGGGAATTTGGTGAAAAATATTGCAAAACTTGCAGTGTACAAGAACTTCAAGGCTAGAATGTCCCAGTTCTGTTTGTAATCTGATTTTTTGGTCAAGTCTGCAGCTTTCCAAATGTAGCCAATGGTTCTTTCTGATAAAGTTTTTTCAGGACCTTCACTTGGCAAGTCATCTTGTTCTGTAGGAATTGCCAAAACAAGACCTAGAACATTCAGTGGTAGTTTCAGAAGTTAGTATTCTTTAATTTGAAGGACTTACATGCATTGATGAGGGTAAGAACTGCTGCTAGGACACAAATCAAGGGAAATCCAGTATCAAAGAAACATCCACTCACCACTGGACCAATTATGTAGCCAGCAGAACTCAGAACATTATAAATCAACAACTGGAATTCTGTTTCTTCTTTGGTTATCTTTTTGATGTACAACTCCTTTACTACTTCATTTGACTGATTGGTTAAAGCTGAAAATTCTATATTAGATCAAGATATAAAGTTGAGCTAGGATTCATTACCAAAAATGCATCTACCAAAAATTGTGAACCAACAACTACCAGTCAAAATAAGTAGAAGATGAGACACTATACTAAAACTGAACATAGTCAACAGTGCAGTCTTTTTGCCTTGGTAGCTGACAATATCTTTCTGAAAAGCAACTTAAACAATGAGATATTGAAGCAGGTAGATATTTCTCAATATTTCTGGGTATACAAAAATTGTGAACCAACAACTTCCAGTCAAAATAAGTAGGAGATGAGACACTATACTGAAACTAAACATAGTCAACAGTGCTGTCTTTTTGCCATGGTAGCTAATAATATCTTTCTCAAAAGCAACTTGAACAATGAGATATTTAAGCAGGTAGATATTTCTCAATATTTCTGGGTATATTGGCTATTATAATATGACTACTACAATATATAATTTAATGAACTTACTGCAATATTCCATGATAATAGTTGACATATTAGAGTTAGGACTGCTAGATATCCTGCAGTCACATTATTGCCACCAAGTACTAGCAAATAAGGGGGAAGGAATGGATAAATCAGTCCAAAGCTGATAGAATCCTGCAAAGAAATATAAATGGAAATTGGTACATATTATTATATAGAGACTGTTATCTATCAACTTACAAATAATGTTATTAGCTGAAGTTTGAGTATATAACTACTGGATTCCATTTTTAAACTCAGATCTGAATAATTGACTGATAATTTAGTAGATAATGAAAAAATCGAGGAAAAAATGTAAGATTATATAATAAAGCAAGGATATTTTACAGTTGTGGTTTTAACCCATTAGCGCCGGGATTAATTTTTTTTCGAATTTAATTATTTTTTTGGCTGTAAGCTGACAAACTATCTATATTCGAACAGAGAATACCATATTCACAAAAAAAATCCTGATAGCTTTTGAGAAGAAAGGTGGTACCATATGGTACCGCTAGGCGCTACACTGACCATTCTGTTTCGACTCTATGAAAATTAAAAAATCAAGAGAAGTAACTTTATTTAGTGTGGAAATCTTCGAAATACTCTATGCATAATCCAACGTTACATTTTAGGCACATTGTTCTAATTCTGCTTTTACACAGAGATCTTGCACATCTTCTCCGCTCTCCTTCTTGTGTCTGAACCACATAGTGATGCATTCCATCGTACCTAACGTTTTCATCAACTCGAAAGTCACTGCCAGATGCCTTTGATGTTCGACCTGGGCCTTTTGGTTCGTTTTTGAATCGTGTCAAATAATGTCTGAAACACAAATCGAATGTTGATTATATAATTATCTTGACATTCTATGAATGACCTGTACAATATTCCTTCTGAACTTCAATTGACTTATATTTCGACCAGTTTTTCTGTAGAAGTTCCATGCATTTTGCACTGCAGCATCGATAAAATATGTAAAAATTGGCCAATACCATTTTTTCGATCTAATTCCGATAATGCGATAACTGGTAAATCAAAATATCTTTCAGTTTCAGTAATGAATACAAATATGTATACATTACCAAGCAATATTACCATCCATTAGATCAGTTCCTCCCATATTCTTGTTGTACTGCAAGACGACATCTGGACGTGGAATGAAAAAAATGTGTTTGCCAATGTAAGAGGACTGTTGTCCATTCATGGCACAAAAATAACTCCTGAATTTTTCTCTAACGCAGGAGAAAAATCACCTCTATTCCGTTTCATCAGGTCTTTTTCAGATACAAAAGGACATTCCTCAGGTATTCTATTATCTCGTACAGTACCAGTAGCACCGTAACCATTGGCTTTCAGGAAAAACATGTTTTGAAGGTTCTAGATCTCCTAACTGACAAAAACTGATATGTTCAGGTTTTCTGACTTTCATCAAGGTATAATCATTCTCTTCTTCATGAGTTTTATCGTGTTTATGCATTCGCCCTTGATTTTGATTCAATTTTTCTCGCAATCTCCATTTTTTCTGTGTTATTGATATGTTCTATTCCTGTAGGTTCATCTGTACCACCTATTCTAGAATTATCATTCAACACAATTTCTGCAGGAACAAACCCCCTGTGTCCTCGTCCGCCGAGTTTTCGTCAGCCAAAATATGACTTTCCGGAGGTTCTATGAAAATATCTCTGACCACCCATTTCTTCTGACTCATCATATGCAATTTCCAATGCATCTCGCAACGTCAGTCTTTTAAAATATTGCACATCATATATCAATCATTCTTGACAGTAAACCGCCTAGCGGTACCATATGGGATCAGCATTGTTTACGCTTCAAAAACAAATATGACAAAAAAAAAATGTTTTATGCAAAATATATTATAATGAACATTGTCTTCTAGGAAAGATAAAATTTACTTGAAATGCTCAGACTCTGAAGCGTATTCATATTACAATATTTACACTAATCGAAAGTCCATATTTTCTTGACAACTGATATCTGATGATATTGTAACTTGTGCGAAACGCGTGGAACACTTCACACCAAATCGAAACAGCGCACAATGTGTTCATGTGTCTCTAAACCAACGCCTGGCTCACGTGCATTTCCACTAAACATAACGGTATGGCCACGAGAGGTCGAAAAGTGGACACCTGATTGGTGGTACCATACGGTACCGGTAGGCGCTAATGGGTTAAGCATCAGTGAATGCTCATTAATTAGAACCTAATCTAACCATGAGGAACTTTAATTTCTCTCATTTGCACGAGTGCCAGTGCATCGTAGATCATTGTGATGATAATATTTTTCTTATCATTATACTAGTTCACAATCACGAGGAATTTTGTGTTTTGGAAATGTAATAATTGACATTTTTGTCGTTGGTCGTTGGCCTGGTTCTGACCTCCAGTGTTGCCACGTTGCCAGCTGCTGAACATGAAATGTCGCAAAGAATTACGAAAAAAACCGCTAGAAGTCGCCAGCGACAACTCATATTTCTAGCTGTTCAACATAATTCAGGTCTGCGACTTCATTGTTATTAGTCAAGTTATAAGTCACATTGGTTCCTATATAAGTTTCAATACTGATGTAGGAAAAATAAAAGCTTTCACAACAAGCATTTTAGTTTTCTACATCATATCGAATAGACAAAATATTATACGCAACGGAAAATTGGGTTTTCACAGAACTCTGTTGCTGAAAAAGCGGTAGATTCACTGAGCATATTCCGATATTCCCGAACAGGTACAGCCCAGAATATTTTATCGTTCCGATTTTACTGAAATTCACTGGCAATTTTTTCGCGGGTCATAGCCAATGTCATAGCTAGGAACCCTGATAGAGGCACTGATGCAGAAATGGTGATGTAGTGCCAGCATTTAGCCAGCATTCGTGAAATGTTATAGATTGAGCGTTTTAATGGTTAGGTATGAGTCGATAAAGATTATACATCATTATTTTCAAATACTTTGGGAAAATGTATGATGTGGCACACAGTGGCAGTAGACGCTGAAACTGCCACTAATCTACAAGATGCTTTGACTATATTCTGGCTATATTCCGAATTCAGCGGACAGTACTGAATCTGCTGAATTTTCATTCCGAAATCAAAAAAATTGACTGAAAAGGCCTGTTCGTTTGTGCTTGCTCATTGATTTTTTTCTATGACTTTCTTTGTTTATATCATGGCATGGACAGAGACAACTATGGAAAAAAGATCAACTTTAGCCAGTTTAGCAATACAAACGAACAGGCCTAAAGTGACAGATACTCGTGAGCAGATATACTATTCATTCCAAATATTTCGACTCAACATTCTGCTGAAATTGCTGACTATCAAAAGGTAGTGTGGCTTCAGTGAACTGTCATTATTTTTGAGGAGAAAGGAATGACACATCCATTTCCGTTGTTTTTTCAAACATTGAGTCTTGGCTTATCAATAATACATTAATAATATCATTTTGATATCAGAAAATGCCTGTTATTTATTTAGCTCAAGCAGGAGCATCTGCCAGATCGATGACAACTGACAAATTTCACCAGCTGATCAACTGCTGCTGATTACTGATGAAAACGTGTTCCGAATTACAGCACTGTATTTTTGATTTTATATTTCGGAACACAGCTTTTCAGCAGAGTCAGTGGATCTACTGACATTACTGACCAGTTGAATTCGGAATATAGCCACTATTCATTCCCATTATTTTGACTCAACATTCTGCTGAACTTGCTGACTATCAAAAGGTAGTGTGGCTTCAGTGAACTGTCATTATTTTTGAGGGGAAAGGAATGACACATTCATTTCCGTTGTTTTTCAAACATTAAGTCTTGGCCTATCAATAATACATTAATAATATCATTTTGATATCAGAAAATGCCTGTTATTTATTTATAGCTCAAGCAGGAGCATCTGCCAGATCAATGACAACTGACAAATTTCACCAGCTGATCAACTGCTGCTGATTACTGATGAAAACGTGTTCCGAATTACAGCACTGTATTTTTGATTTAATATTTCGGAACACAGCTTTTCGCATAGTTAGTGGATCTACTGACAGTACTGACCAGTTGAATTCGGAACATAGCCTTAGTACTGACCAGTTGAATTCGGAATATAGCTCTGGTCAGTACTGTCAGTAGATCCACTGACTCTGCTGATAATCTGTGTTCCGAAATATAAAATCGAAGATACTGTGCTGTAATTCGGAACACGTTTTCATGGTCTTCATTAGTAATCAGCAGCAGTTGATCAGCTGGGGAAATTTGAATATTATGCTTAGCTTCAATTATTTTAATAAAAGGCATTTTCTGATATTGAAACGATATTATTATAAATAAATGTGACATTCCATCTCCCTCTAAAATAATGACAGTTCACGAAAGCCTCACTACCTCCGGCTGATAGACAGCATTTTCAGCAGAAAGTTGAGTCGAAATATTTAGGATGAATAGTAGAGAGTTGAAGTGTTGTCATGAACGTTAACGTGAACGTAAAAAACTAGCGTCTAGCGCAAGGAGGTATTTGTATAAACAACGTAGTGGGAGAACCGCGCAAGCGAGACGCGGACGCGGACAAACATCACCTATGCCTTCACCTATCGACATGCCCGACGAACGTTGGAGCGAAGTAATTAGATCTATGGAGCGAAGGAATATATTATATACAGTATGATGCAAATGTATGGAATAAATTCATTTCAAAACAAGACGACTTCCGAAAAAAATCCAAAAAGTAGAGTTCAGAACTTTTTTATCGATGTATTTTTTCAACTAGACGACCCTTCAATGTTCAATTCTCAGTAGAAGATCTCTGCAAGATTCAGTTAACCAAATGATAATCCATTTTAATTTCAATCTTCTTTTGCAAAATTTTGACTATTGGATAGACGATCAGTAGACCTTTCAAACGAGGTGTCACATGACCCCTGTTTGTATTTAAAAAAACCGTCCATTACGTCATTACTCCAACACCGGTGACGTAACATCTCTCATATGAATGTCATGAGATGAGGTTTCAAAAATTAAAACTCACGTGTTTTTGGAATATCGTCAAATGTCGCCCATTTCTGAAATAATGAATTTGTTCCATACATTTGCATCATACTGTATATAGAACTTCACATTTTCTCCAGATACTCTCTGCGATGACCACGTCATTCTGACCATCTACCAATTTTGGATTTTCAAATGGAATAATACATTCTGTACATTATTCTATCACTGATTATGGGTAATACCATTACGATACCACAAATATAATACTGACAATATATCAACTTACTTGCCATTATCACTAGTCTCATTATTAGTAATTGATTAAAGAAAAAATGTATTCAGATATTCAGTTTCTTTATTCATGATGTAAACTTAAATGCTTAAAGAATAATATTGTATTTTCTGTAGTAGTCCATGCTCAAAGTGGAGTGGAATGATCAATAGAGAAAAACCCAAAGTCGTCTCCACAATTTTTAATGTATAATGAGGCAGTCAATCCTGCTTCATTAAGGTTGATACATGTTTCGGCCATTCAAATGGCCATCTTCAGTCAAAAGAATATAACAAAGTGTATCTTCAATAGAAAACCAAACATGATTTTTTATATAAGAAAAATTGAAAATGAAAAAGACAACAGTTGTAAATTCAAATTGAATTGATTAACAATTTCGGTTAGATCAAAGAGCAACAGTGATTTTTATGAGTATACAATGATAATTGATCAGTAATTGATAATAAAAGTGAAAAACAAAATTTTATCAAATCAAAATTCTAAAAAACAAAATGGAGAACCATAGATAGATCAATTACTGATCAATTATCATTGTATACTCATAAAAATCACTGTTGCTCCTTGATCTAACCGAAATTGTTAATCAATTCAATTTGAATTTACAACTGTTGTCTTTATTTCCATTTTCAATTTTTCTTACATAAAAAATCATGTTTGGTTTTCTATTGTAGATACACTTTGTTATATTCTTTTGACTGAAGATGGCCATTTGAATGGCCGAAACATGTATCAACCTTAATGATGCAGGATTGACTGCCTGATTATACATTAAAAATTGTGGAGACGACTTTGGGATTTTTCTCTATTGAATATTGTATTTTATGAATACCTATAATAGGTATCGGTATCCCAATTTTATTTTTTCATTTTATGGCCTCAATCTCCAAATCCTCATATCAGTATTCAAAGTGTTAGTTTTGTGTTATTAGACTTTTAATAACATGTGTTGTCAGCCGCGCGTCGCTATAGGTGATGGGCACAGTTGATGTTTGCCCGCGTCCGCGTCTCGCTTGGCGCGGTTCTCCCACTACGTTGTTTATAGGAATACCTCCTTGCGCTAGACGCTAGTCGTAAAAATTGACAGCTACGCATGCGCATTTTCCAATTCTTCACGTTTGCGTTGTTAGTGGGCTTACGGGTGTACGTTATCTCACGTTCTTTCACGTATACCTTATCAACGTACGTTAACCAAACTATACTCGAAATATGCCGATGAGTCAAAATTATTAAATTCGAGATCACTAACGAGTTTCTGCATCAAAGAGTCCTCTAATTTCGACAGGAATAAATGTTCGAATCTAAACACACAACCAAAAATGACCAATACAAACCGAAAACAAAATGTATTATTACGTTATGATGACATTGACGACCAAAGTGGCGACTTCAACTAAATTTAACGACAATACGTAAACGTTATTTTTCGTACGTTAACGTCGACATGGAAGTCTACGTACAGTGATTACTTCAATAACTTCAACCTCTATGTCTGCCCACAAGTATCTGTCACTTTCAGTGGTGTTTCTGTCGTTTTGTTGTTGTCTGTATTTTACCGTTTCATGACTACTTGTAATTTGTAATGTTTGTTTTTTGTTTATATAAACAAGAAACAGCTGTTTTTGACAACATTGTGAATAGTGTGACTCATGTGTTACTAGACCAAGACAAGATCAGCTAGAGGTGTGACAGTGAACAGGATAAAATATCCTATATTTCAAAATTTTCGTGATTTTGCCCCCTTATGATGTGAGTAAAACTTTTGTAATACAATACATCAAGTATTACCATAAAAAGCTAAAAGAGAAGTTGGTAAGAAGGTCATACTTGTGAAATCATAAAATAGCCTTGTCAATAAAAATAACTTCCTCATTCCTACACTGCTGGAGTGGTGGCTGGAAATATTGGCAGTGGCCTAATTTCCAGGATTATTCTGCATCACTTTCAGAATATAAAACTGTTACAGTAGAGGCAATTCATTATGAGTGATGATAGAAAATCAAGTGAGCCTAAAGACACTGGGAAATTACCAAGAGACAGGACAACCAGTGAGTGCTCATACACCAGTGATGATGGGGCTGCTGGATTTACTGGGAAACGGTGAGAACTTGTTCACAACATAGTAAAATTAGTTGCTGACTCCTTGATCAATCTTTTTTTAGGCAGAGAACAACTTCTCAGCAATTCATGGTGATGAGTGGCTTGGCTGCTGCATCACCCCCAAAATTTGTTTCCCTGGAGGAAATCATGCAGGCTGCCAATGGCATGAGGGACATGGCTTTGGTGCATCAGATAGCTGTTGACAAGGATTTCAAGCTGACCAGACCAGAACCTGACCCCAACAGTGTTCAGAAAATCATCAAGGAAACCATGCATAAGGCTTTTTGGGATGTTCTGCGTACCCAGTTGGCAGAAGAGCCACCAAATTATACACAAGTAAGTGATGGTGGGATGATATGATGATGGAAAATCTTTATTTCTCATGAAAAGGAATATTTTTTCTTGATTTTTTCCTCTTTTAGGTATAGATAGATACACCATTTTTGTTATATGTTTCTTGGATTATTGATATTTTTTGTCTACCTCTACAAAAAATCACATTCTCAAACAAAAAACCCAATATTTCCAAAGGCTAGTACTTTCCTACCATAAACAGTCTGTAAACACTTTTTGTCCGCTGCATGGTGCCAGTTCTACCGAATTTTCAGTAGATCTCCTGATAAATATCTTCTGATCAACTGAAACATTTCATAACCTGCTGAAAAATATTTTGACACATTAATTTTACAATATAAGTAATGAATTTACATATAGGCACTAATGATATGAATAAACCAAAAAAGGACATTACTTTAACACATTCAAATCAAATTCAATTTTTTATATACCTCTGTTATAACAGTTTGTTTCTTATCTTCAATATTTCATTTATTTGTTGTGTATTTATGTTGATGTTCATTTTTACTATTCCTTCCTGTTTTTCATTTACTCAAATATTATGTGGAGCATTGAGAATTAGGAATATATATCTATGTGACCTTTGCCACATTTATGATTTTTTTTTCACCTTAAGTGAAAATAATAATTATTTGTTACCATCACCAAAATTTATCCCCTCAAATGTAATAAAGTTATATTGGCAAGTCATACCCCTAGAACACCCGGTTTATTACCTGCACAAAATATATTTTATTGTTTCAAGTTTTAAGTTGACCATCTATTTTTTTCGGGAAGTCCTCTAATATTCCCTCACAGTGGATATCATTCAAATACTAGTTGAAGATCAATTATGTAACCCTGTTATTTTTGAATTTTCATAAAACTCAAAAAGTGCTTGTTGCACTGATTTTTCAAGTAAAAGCCACTAGTTTTTCTATTATCATTTGTGAACGCCCTGTATATTGTGATTGATAGGGAAAATCTGAATCGGGTTTATTTCTATTGAAATTATGCATTGTTTTCATACACTGATGGTCGGTCTGCCTGTCTGTGTGTGTGGGCGTTCAATTTGCCATGGTCATGGCCAACGTGTGGGATGGGTTGATGCATTGGAAATTTTAATTGAGGGTTACAATGGATAAATTGCCTATTCCACGTATTCAGTAAATGCAATTACTCTTATAGTAAACACGAATGGTTGAATCCCCAGAATCCGATAATACATCATTTTGTTCATTTTGAGATGATCATCAAATCACCAGATTTTTTTGTTCAGAATCTTTACATACCCTAATGCTCTCAATAATGGTATTTTTTCAGAATTTTCATCTTTTTAAGAGTTATTCATGTATCAAGGGCGTAAAATAGGCTTTTATGGACCGCAGCGTGTAAGTAATAGACCGAGCGATAGCGAGGGCTATTAACACGCCTAGGTCCATAAAAGCTAGTTACGCCCGAAATACATACAACATTTTATGCACGACCTGTATATATTTGATATCTCATGTAGGTATCTCTTCACCCCTCAAGCACGATAAAAATACATCACAGTTACAGTGAGACTGTATTGTATCCATATCGCAAATACAATTAATCAAGAAGTATGGAATCAACGTTACCATGGCAACTCAGTCAAATTTTCGAAATAGGAATTAATAGGCCAGTAGCCATATTAACTGGGGCTCCGTGGCCGAGTTTGTCTCTGCGCTGAAATTCGCTAGATAGCCGTTCACGATGCAGAGGTACTGTCGGTTCGAATCCGGTTATCGGCTGAGCATTTTTCTTTAAAATGTGTGATTCATGGTTGTAATCCTGGCAGCACCTCGATGCCCTAGAAGTGGTTCGGATTCCACTGTAAGCTGTAGGTCCCGCTCTTCCTAACCCCGCACAAGTTTTGACTTCTGGGGAGTTGGTTCCCAACTTTGAAGTAGCGATATACAAATTATACAAATTAATTATAATAACTGTCAATTTGTGTAATCATACATAATTCATTAGTGATTTAATATTCAAATGAGCACTCCTCTATAATACAGATCTATTTTCCCAATCATTTTGCATTAATTGAAACCATTGGAATCTAGATTTCTATCGATATGACAGTGACATTAGCTTTACTACCAGCTCAATGACTTTATCGCCCGCCGGGCGGTAAAGTAGTCCGCGGGCGGTAAAGTGCTACTTTACGCCCATAAAAGTTATTAAAAGCTTGCATTGTATGTTTGTATGTTCAGGTGGAATCTTTGAACTCAATTTTGAAGTAGAAATCTTCAACCGATTGAGCTGAATTTTTTTATACACGTTCAGTTTGGATGACAATGCACGATAAGGTGTGTCACGTTATTCTAAATCCAATATGGCGGACTATCCAAGATGGCGGAATAGCTATTTTTGATATACTTTTACAATATGGGTATCAAATGAAAAGGCTCGTTGAGAGTAACTCGAAAAATGATGTGACGTCATTCTAAATCGAATATGGCGGACCATCCAAGATGGCGGAATGGTCATTTTTAATCTACTTCTACAATATGAGTATCAAATGAAAGGGCTCGTTGAGAGTAATTCGAAAAATAATGTGACGTTATTCTAAATCCAATATGGCGGACCTTCCAAGATGGCGGAATAGCTATATTTTTGATATACTTTCACAATATGGGTATCAAATGAAAAGGCTCGTTGAGAGTAACTCGAAAAATAATGTGACGTCATTCTAAATCCAATATGGCGGACCATCCAAGATGGCAGAATGGTAATTTTCAATCTACTTCTACGATATGGGTATCAAATGAAAGGGCTCGTTGAGAGTAATTCGAAAAATGATGTGCTGTTAGTGCCTACTCAATGAAATTTATCGAAATTTACGAAAGAAAAAAACTATAATAATGAGTTAATATCTTTGCTTATAGGCAGTGTTTTCCCTATAGAATAAATGATAATTTTATTTATCAGGCGCTGAATTTGTTAGAGGAGATAAGAGAGGGTCTATTTTCTGTGCTTTTACCCCAACACACAAGGATCAAACAACAAATATCAGAAATCTTAGATACCGATTTGATTAAGCAACAAGCTGAGAAGGGAACTCTGGACTTCAAGGTTGGTATCTGTAGTGAAACTAATTCAAAATGTGAAATTGTTATGGATGAGTTTATATAGATTCAATTAAATTAACAATTAGGAATTAACAATAAACAATCAACAATTGATAATTACGAGGGTGTTTATACACATCAGATAGTAATAAGGATTTAGATGTGAAATGTATTTTGATTACTATCAAAATGAAGTTAAAACATGTTCTTGGTCTTCACAATCCATGAATCCATGATTGACATAACTATTAATATCTAGACCACTATTTGTCACATCCTAGCAGGAACTCTCAATAACATGTCTCTTCGGAAGTAAGAGTAATAAGATATTGGACAGGTCCTAAATGCTCACTTTCCATATTGAACTAAGGTATATCTTGTGAATGAATGATTTTTGATTTTATATACTCATTAGCGGTCTAGTTAGTTATTCACGTCTCTGGAACTCCTTAATTCATTGTTGAGTTGAAAGTTCACCAACTTTTTTCGCAATTCTCTGTATGTCACTAGAAAAGCGTCAAACTCCGCATTTCAGATAAATGGATGAATATTTTGTGTTTGTCTCACTTTTTTTTAGAACTATGCCACCTATGTTGTATCTGTCATGGGAAAATTGTGTGCCCCAGTACGAGATGATAGAATTCAAGAGTTGTCAGAAACATCTGATGTTATTGATACATTCAAGGGTATCCTTGAGGTAAGCTTAGAAAAATGTTTTTAGTATTAATACTCAGTTCTCAATATCTTAGTGAATTCCTCAAAATCTAAACTATTTACACGGTGATCCGTGACCTCTATTTATTTTGAACTTTTTTGGTAGTGAATTCTAATCAGTTTACCAGATGATGCCTGTAATGTATATGGTGTTTTCAAATCAGTTGCTAGTCGATATAGCAATCTTGCCTCTAACCTCAATAAATGCATTCAAGAAACTTACAACACTAAAAAGTTATTAGAAGTTTTTAAAATATTGATAAATGAATACCATGGACTTGAGTATATTATTATATTTTTCTGGATCACCTATTCACTGTGACTCAGCAATTTGTGTTTTGAAAAAGAGGCATTATTATTTATACAAAATATCGCATTTATATCGATGATATTTTTTCAATATTAATGCAGGTGTTGGAATTGATGCAACTAGATATGGCTAATTTCACACTCCAAATGGCTCGTCCAGACATCATTGCCAGCAGCGTGGAATTGGAAAGAAAGAAATTTGCAGATTTTCTCTCTGTACAGTATGGTAATTGAATATGCTTCAATATCTGAATTCGTTTCATACAGTATACACAGTATTAATCGTTCAGCATATGATTTCTTAGGCAGTATACGGGGTAGAGCTAACCGTGTCAATGGAACTTTTCACTTCACTGCGAACAGCCTAAGGATGAGAGTCGACCGGTCATCTGACCATGTCCACGTTCAACATGCTTTAGTCTTAACTAAACTGGTCAACATTGATAACGTCATGCTCCAAAATATAGCCTGAATTCAGAGTAGAATAACTCACGAATTTCCTCGCCAATTTGAAATCGGTTTTCACCGATGATTAGCCTCATCTCTTGACAGATTGTTGTGGCAATATGAAACTTCTGTAATTTCAGATAACATATATTGCCACAGGGTGTAAAATTACATCGTGGTCGTCACCTTACCGCTTGAACAGATAATTTTTTTTTAATTTTTTTCTCACCTGTATCCTCTTGATTTATGCTTTCTCTCGAAACATTTTCGGAATTTTCGAATTCAGAGCTTTGATAATCGTGTTATGAAAATTCATTCAAAATAATGCATTTTTTCGACGATTAATTGAATGAAATTGAAAGTTGGAATTCTTCTCCAAAGAACCAACGTTCTATGTATAGTCGTCGGTCGTCGGATATGTGATTGTGTTCGAACACAGAAAATTCTGAAGAAGTCTATACAAAGTGATACAAAAAATACTAAATGATGGAATGGAGAATAACATAGTCTTCAGTAGATGAAACATAATTTTCTCTGTGTTACTAGGGGAATAATGGAGTGTTACTTCGTCATGAGGATGTCTGGTGTCTGACCTCGAAATGGTTTTGTAATTTCTTGGATCGAGGGTCATATAATGAAAGTACGCAATTTTAATCAAAATGATGCATTTTCGTTAAGATAAATTATGAAATTCAAAAAATTACGATTGTAGTTCCAGAAGTATGAAATACCTATTCATTCTTGACGATGGATATACAAGGTGCGATAAAAAGTATGTCCAGATTGTCCCGGGATGAAGAAGGATATGTTAAAACGTGATGAAAATTGCTATGTTCCTAAAAAGAGATGAAGTGTCGGTCATTGTCGAAAGTTGTTAAATGTTTGAATACAGGAACATTTCATGAGGTTTATACGAGGAAATATGAAAGAGACTGCAGAATTTCCATATTCGATATAATGTTTTTCATGCTAATGAAGATGAATACAGTAAGTCCTCATGAGGCTTATACGAGGTAATATGAACGAGACTTCACATATTGGAATGAACGTCAATCCAATATGCAAATACCACAAAAAACATAATAGCAATAATTGTGATTATAAGTTAGGAAATCTATATTTTTTCAACGGAATTCGTCAAATCTATAGCATCAGGTGAGATATTATAAATTCCTTATGAATCACCCTGTGAAAAAGATGATGCAGAAATGAGCATTCAAGAGTTATTCTATCCCCATTCATCTTCACACTGAGTGACAATGAGGAAATTTTCCTTCGGAAGACCATGTTGTAGGTGCTAGATCAGTATAAGATGCAATGGCAACAAGTATGCAATTTTGAAGTCTCTTTCATATTATTACCTCGTATAAGCCTCATGAAGACTTACTGTATTCATTTTCATTAGTATGGAAAACATTATATCGAATATATGGCAATTCTGCAGTCTCTTTCATATTTCCTCGTATAAACCTCATGAAAAGTTACTGTATTTATACATTTCACAAATTTCGACAATGGCCGACACTATATCTCTTTTTCGGAACATAGCGATTTTCATCACGTTTAAACATATCCTTCTTCATCCCGGGACAATCTGGACATACTTTCTATCGCACCTTGTATATCCATCGTCAAGGATAATGAATAGGTATTTCATACTTCTGGAACTACAATCGTAATTTTTTGAATTTCATAATTTATCTTAACGAAAATGCATCATTTTGATTAAAATTGCGTACTTTCATTATATGACCCTCGATCCAAGAAATTACAAAACCATTTCGAGGTCAGAGACACCAGACATCCTCATGACGAAGTAACACTCCATTATTCCACTAGTAACACAGAGAAAATTATGTTTCATCTACTGAGGACTACGTTATTCTCCATTTAATCATTCAGTATTTCTTGTATCACTTTGTTTAGACTTTTTCAGAATTTTCTGTGTTCGAACACGATACACGATCACATATCCGACGACTATACATACAACATTGATTCTTGGGAGAAGAATTCCAACTTTCAATTTCATTCAATTAATCGTCGAAAAAAAGCATCATTCTGAGATAGTTGAAGACGGCTGTGTTCTGAATGAATATTCATAACTAGATTATCAAAGCTCTGAAAATTCCGAAAACGTTCCGAGAGAAAGCATCAATCAAGAGGGTACAGGTGAGAAAAAAAATTTAAAAAATTATCTGTTCAAACGGTAAGGTGACGACCACGATGCAATTTTACACCCATTCAATTATCACCCTGTAGCAATGTTATCTGAAACTACAGAAGTTTCATATTGCCACAACAAACTGTCAAGAGATAAGGCTAATCATCGGTGAAAACCGATTTCAAATTGGTGAGGAAATTCGTGAGTTATTCTACTTTGAATTCAGGCTATATTATGGAGCACGACGTTATCATTGTTGACCAGTTTAGGATATTTTACATATAGTATATTTTAGATTATTCCAATTCCTTTTCATTTCTTCATTCAAATTCTTGATTGAAATTTGGATGAGCAAATTATAATCGAAAGGTAGGTAGGTATTGATTGTTGAAAATGAAATGAACACTTTTCAGATGGTTTGGAACACACTCGAAAATGGTTACTAAAGTACGTCAATACCAACGAAAGTGTCCCGAAAGATGTGGACTATGAGAAGTTTATAAAAGGTGTCCTGAGAAGTGCTTTTCTTCAAGCGTGCGCGGATTTGTTTGACTGGCCAGAAAATACAGATTACCCTGAAGTGAGTTTCGAATTTAGCTTTCTTCTGTGTCGTGTCTACAGGGTGACATAGATAAAAGTACATTGCATAGTACCACGCAATAGAGGATACTAAAATAAGAAAAAAATTCCTATAAACATGGGTCTGCAAGGCCTTCGGTTAAAAGATAGGGGGTGTTGAATTTACTTTTTTTTTTGTTTTCTTCGAATATCTTAAGCCAGAGACTCAAGAAATGGATAAAATATGGTATACAGGGGTTTTTTATCATGCTAAATTCAAATATGATCTTAGTTTTGTGTTGACTGATAGAGGGCGCTACATATAGGGTTCCATCCCTATTGAATCGGTCATAACTTTTTTGCTGTACACTTTATGTCATTTTCGACGGAAAAAATTTGTTATCCCTTCTTTTATACTTAAGAAAGGTATACCTTGTCCAAGCCACTAGAAACAATGGTTCCAGTACAAATGCATCTTAAAGCCGACAATGCACGCAAATTATTCAAAAAGCGCCAAAGAAACTTTTGCAAAAACAATGATAAATACTTCCAACAGTTACATTTTAACGGTATGATCAAAAATTTGATTAATTAGAACAAAACATTAAGTTTTTAGAAGATGTTCAAATTGTTGCCTTTATTGTACTTCAATACATTTTTCCGTTAAAATTCAACACCCCGTATCTTTTAACCGAAGGCCTTGCGGACCCATGTTCATAGGAACTTTTTTCTCCTTATTTTAGTGTCCTCTACTGTGTGGCACTATGCAATGTACTTTTTTCTATGTCACCCTGTATACAGAGTGTAATTTAATTGAGGACTGGAAATATAGGATACGGTTTTCGGGGTCGGAGATTATGATTCTTTCGTCAAAATAATGATTCAAGATGGCAGATCCAATATGGCGGAGGAGTTTTATAACTGAGATATGATTCTATTCAAAATTTGGTATCTAGGGGTTTTGCGGGGTCGGAGGATATTATTCATTTGTCAAAATTGATAAATTCAAGATGGCGGATGAGTTTTGTAATTATGATCCAATTATATTCAATATGGCGGATACAATATATAGTGGACGGCTTTTGTTGTCATGCATGATCCGAATATATTAAAAATCAGGGGGTTTTTGGGGTACGAGATTATGATTCTTTCGTCAGAATTGGGTACTCACAAAAAATATAAGAACAATTAAAACATATTAAAGAAACACTCTTTTATAGAAAGCCAAACTAAAAAGAGGTAGAAAATAAAATGAGAAAAATGTGTTGATAAATACACAACATAGAATGTACTGATTACGGAGGTGTTAATAATTTCTATGTTGTGTATCCATGAACAACACACTTTTATCATTTTATTTTCTACCAATTTTCAGTTTGGCTTTCTATAAAAAAAATTTTTAGTTTTTCAAATTACAATAACAATGCTTTTGGGTGTATGATAAATTGACATTCATCATACAGGGCGTGGAAATGAATTCTGAATTGAGACTCTATCACGAATCTGCGATTAGAGGTCTATAAAAATCACAAGTTTCCATCGTTCAAGTTTGAACCCCCTGATTGGGTATAAAAGTGTTGAAAAGGAATATTCTCAGATAAAATTATGAACATACAAAAATGGATATAATATATTTATATAAAGCAATACATTGAGAATTCGCATTCTCTATGTGATGAGAATATTTACTCTTTTTCAGTTAATTCAATAGAAAACAACTACTTTCCTGGCTATATGCCACGACGAACATTGAATTATATCTATTGGACACATACGATAAGAGTTTGAAAATAAAATATAAAAGTTTCTGATATGTGTATATACCTATTTTTGTCTGAAGGAGAATGCAAATTCTCTCTCTCTCAATTCCGCCTTTCTAGAGAAAATACAGGCTTGAGTTTTGGTGGCGTTGAATTCAACTAGGTTGTTGGTTCCCCAGGCTGTGATTTCAGCAAGGTCTTCATTGACAGCGTTGACCTGCCTGCGCCGTGAGTTCTTAGTTTCCTGGAAAGAAATGGGAATTCTGGAAGAGAACGCAGTATGGAGGGTACTATCATCTGCAAAGCTGTGGATGGGGCAAGTTGTTACTCCCAACGAGTCCCAACAGATCATTGATATGAAGAAGGAATAATGTTGGTGCCAAAATTGATCCTTGTGGAACGCCGGAATTGATGCCAATGGTATCAGACGATACACCGTCCACCACCACATGAAGCGATCTGCCTGAAAGAAAACTCGATAAGAGATGGCATAGCTGAGGTGGTAAGCCGTATGATGGTAGTTTGTGGAGGAGTCCTAAAGTGCCAAACACGGTCAAATGCTTTCGATATGTCCAACGCGACAGCTAGAGATTCCCCGTGTTTTTCTAATGAAGCTTGCCATAAATGGGTGACGTAGGCAAGTAGATCTCCAGTAGATCTTTGGTGGCGAAATCCGTATTGTCTCTATCATTGATGATTCCCGAGCTCTCCAGATATTTGATAAGCTCAATATTGATGGCTTTCTCCATCACTTTGGAGATTACTGATGACAGGGCAATGGGCCTGTATAGTTGTTGGGCAGGTTCTTGTTCCCTTTTTTGGGGATCGCAGAGAATCGGTGTTAATTCTGGTGCACATTTTTTGAGGATAATGGGTGGAATTCCATCAGGACCGTTAGCCTTATTCGTTTTGAGACCAAGAAAAATTCGTCTGATAGTGCGTGGCTTGGTGCTTAGTAAGTGCATTTCAAATCCAATGATTATATCTAGAACAGCATTGAGCAGGTTATGATGAGAAAACGATTTTTTCTAAAAATTATAACACTATAGCTCGAAAGTTAAAAACTGTCTATTATCTCGTCTAATTGCTAGCCTCGGCTATCAATTTGCAGAATCGAGTATAAAAGACAGTGTTTCGTCTTTGCGTACATAAATAACTAGGTATTCAAGTTCTTTTTTGAATTTGTTGGTACTGATATATCTTTTTCAAGACTGACTGAATAATTTTTGGGTATTGGGTTGGACATTTTGTATTGTGAGTTTCGCTACAGTGTTGTCAAATATGAATGAAATCACTCACTTCCTTTTTTTTTTGTAAAGAAAAAGATGCAACCATATATCCAGTAATTTTCATTTTTTCAGACATTTATGTTAGATGTTGATAGATTGGAAGATTTGCAGCAAAAAACGAATAGGTTAATATTGATAGCAACTATTCTCTTGGTGGCGATAAGCAATGTCAGTGCAGACTTACAATCACTGGCATCTTTCAAGCAGGACTTGAAAGCTCATATTTCAATATTGTTGCAGAATATCAAAACTGACCAGTGAGTAGAAGAGTAATAATTTATACAAATGAAAATTGATGAAAATATGTTTTATCTACAACTATTGAATATCGCATACTCGATTTTCATCAGTCCATGACTTTTTGAATTCATTGCTTGAAAAAAAAACAAAAGATTTTTATGCTGACAATTTGTTCTAATAAGGAGTTTTGTATACAGGGTGATCCAATATGGCAGAACCTTATTAACATCAAAATATGACGATTGGCCATAAATGACTTTAGTAAAATGTTGCAATGAAAATTTATCTGATTCTCAATAATATATTTTCGGAATATATGTATTTGAAGTTGCTGTATTTGAATAGTTGTATATAAAAGTATGAAATGCAATACTCTCCTATGAATGCTATTTCACACTCAGATGATTTCAGCACTCATTTTCGTGAGTATTAGCCATCATTATACATAATACAGGGTAATTCACAGGTAAAGGGAAATATTTCAATGGTAGATAGGGGTCACCAAGGTGGTTCTGAAAATACCATATTCGATAGGTCTTAGAGTCTTCATGATGGAGATACAGGACGATTTATCGAATCTGAATAATTATATTCATTCTTCTATATCTATTGTCCTACCCAGTATATTTTTCTCAAATTGGGTAAGGAGCTTATACTTGGGACGTTAAATTAATTCACCTCGGCGACCCCTATGTACCATTGAAATATTTCCCTTTATCTGTGAAACACCGCCGTGTATATTATTGTTATCAAACAAATGAATATTCAGATTTTTTTTATTTACTGCAAATGAATTTGGTAGGGATTTGAATGACATTTTACCGAATGTCGCGGAACAAGTAATGAATGATTTGAAGGAAGCTCAAAAAAAACATGGACTTCCAGAAATGTTTCAGGCAGCAGAGGCCAATTTGAAACAGCAAATTTTGGATGTAGGAAAACCTGATCACAAAGTCAGAAGCATTGTTAGTAAGTATTGAGAACTACAATGGTAGGTAGATATATTTCAAATTACTACTGATGAGGTATACAGGGTCCCGCGATTTCATTTAAGGACAGAATATTAATTGCGAGATTAATTGCTATTTCCTAAACGCTAAGAGATAGACATTTGTCAAGTATGCCGTTTTATGAACTGGAAAAATGTCAGCCGTTCCAGAAATATTTTGAAAAAACTGAAAATAGTGAAAATCACTTTGTTATTATTCAAATTTTTGGTTAATATTAGAAGAAAAATGTCAAAGGACCCCGCACTTTCCTTATGGAAAATGGCTTTCTGTTGAATTCCCTGAATTTTTGGTATCATCTGGATCTCGTATCCATTATAATTTTACGTTTTGGGCTCTACAACAGGGTGATAAAAGAATAAATATCCAATTCGATTAATTTTAAACCAACTGGGGTAAGTTCTTTTATGAGAATTAAAGATCCAATTGAAGCCTGGACGAACTTATTGAAGCCTGGACGAACTTACCCAATCTCGATCGAAGTTTACTGACATTTTTTTTATATACAGGGTGGTTCGAAAATAGGGGTACGTCAATCCCTAGTTTTTTTAATCGGAAAGGGGAGAGCATGTCATATATATATATATCAGACATTCTTTAATGTTGTCATTCCCTATATATAGGGTGAGTAAACAGATACAGTCCAAGTTTCTTGAAAAAATGCGGTTTTTCTCAATGAATACCCTGTATTTCGAAAAAGAATCGGTTAATTTTCTTGAATTTTTGATATAATCTACGATTTGAGGTGTCCGAGATATTGTCATCTATATTAGCATAGGTCTCCGGACTCGTTTGTCGGCTATATATACTTTGAATGTACGGATTTTATTAGTACTCGATATATACTCCATTGGAGTCCGAAATGGGCTATTTTCCAACAATTCATGTTAAAAAATATTCCGGCCAGATTAGTGCAGTACCTATTGCAAAAATGCAATACCTTATATACAGGGTGAATGAAATGTTTTCCATTTGAAAGCCCTGTTTCCGAAGAAACTAGAGAAAATTGAAATCAGAAGCAATAACCCTCTCAAGGTTGGAACTAATTCTACAGTATCTGAAAGCTATTTCAATTCAAAGAAGAAATGACCACAAAACATAATTTTTTTTTCAGACTTGAATTTTGGGAGGTATAATACCTTCACCATTCATTTGTTCATTGAGTACTCAATATACCAATTTTGTAGAAACCGCACATTTCACAAAAATCATATAAAATATTCCTCTATCTGAATTGAAATAGCTTTCAAATACTGTAGAATTAGTTCCAACCTTGAGAGGGTTATTCCTTCTGATACATTTCAAGTTTCTCTAGTTTCATCGGAAACAGGGCTTTCAAATGGAAAACATTTCATTCACCCTGTATATAAGGTATTGCATTTTTGCAATAGGTACTGCACTAATCTGGCCGGAATATTTTTCAACATGAAAATAGCCCATTTCGGACTCCAATGGAGTATATCGGGTATCAATAAAATCCGTACATTCAAAAGTATATTATAGCCGACAAACGAGTCCGGAGACCTATGCTAATATAGATGACAATATCTCGGACTCCTCAAATCGTACATTATATCAAAAATTCAAGAAAATCAACCGATTCTTTTTCGAAATACAGAGAGGGTATTCATTGAGAAAAACCGCATTTTTTCAAGAAACTTGGACTGTTTCTGTTTACTCACCCTATATATATATATATGGAATGTGTATGCGACGTTCTCAACATTAAAGAATGTCTGATATATATATGACATGCTCTCCCCTTTTCGATTAAAAAAACTAGGGATTAGTAAACTTCGATCGAGATTGAGAAAGTTCGTCCATCAGGCTTCAATTATATCTTTAATTCTCATGAAAGATCGAAGAAATTGATCGAATTGGATTTTTCTTTGTTCACCCTGTTGTAGAGCCCAAAACGTAAAATTATAATGGATACGAGATCCAGATGACATTGTACCATCAATCAGGCATGTTATTCCATGAATAAATGGCCATTTTGCCAATTCTCGAAGTTGTTGAAAATTCTGAGCAGAAAGCTTCACTTCTCGTCTTTGACACCCTGTATCTCGAAAACTAGTCAGCCGATTTCTTTGTGCCCATGGACACTTTTGCTTAGGGAGTCAAAATCTACATCATACCAAAAATTCAGAGAATTTATCTGAAAGCCATTTTCCATAAGGAAAGTGCGGGGTCCTTTTGCGTAATAAGTTGGGATTGTCATATATTCTATATACATTTTTACTATTGAATACAGCCATAATGAATTCCCTTCAAAGCCCTATATACCATATATTGACGTTACCACGTGAAACAGCGCCAATAAAGAGTAAAAAATTTTTTTTGTGATTTTCACTGCTTATAGGCCATGTTAATAAAAAAAAATAATGTCAGTTGCCATGACTAGATACATTATTAATGCTTCTTCATGGCCATTTATAACAAGCTACATTATTATGCAAAAAGGAGAATAAGGCACAGAAAACCCAGAGAAAATGAGCTCAGATTTGTAAAATCTATGAAATAACGTGTGAACCAACCAGCCAATGGATCGTTATGAAAGACGGTGTGATCACATAAATGAACCATGTATTTCTGTATTTCATTGCAATTTTAGATTTTCCCTGAGGAGCTGATTTCATCGATATATCACTTATTGTTAAGATAGGGAGATATGTAAGCTGTTTTTATTTATTAGGAATCCATTCCACAAAAAAAATTCCTGAAGTGAAAAAATCTTGATTTTGAACACCTTATATGTATATCTATAATCATTACCGCTGTGATGTATTGATGAAATCAGCTCTTCAGGATGAATCTAAAAATGCAATGAAACACAGGGTATTTCTTTTCAAATACCAAAGTTGCTACATATTTCTTGTAGAAGCGGCAACGCCGCATTATTGAAATAATTTTAGAAAGATAGAGCGTGTTCGTTTATGGAATAAATTGGCTGGTTCGCCAGGAGCGTCTAAGATGGACAGTTATGTTTCGGTCCACCAGGCCCCATCAGTCGCTCTCAGTTTGCTGACAATTGGGTCAACGCATTAGTATCATCAGATGTTATGTTTCTCTTTCTATTTTAGAGCAAAGAGTGAAAGAGTTTTTCGCCGATATCATAGAATCTTCGACAGCTGCACCCCAAAAAGTACCATCTGGGCTTACAGCTTTGCAAAAAGAATTGACTGAAGTTGCTGGACAATTTCTGAGGATCGTTTCCCACAACAGCACTGTATTTTGCATTTATTATTACAGTATTATAGCTTCTGAATTACCCAAACCAACTTAATTAAATGTATGATGATGAATAAAATAATGTCCAATGAGATTTCTCATTATTATTTGTTGATGTATAATGTTGCTTCTTACTAAATTATCATATTCTATATTTCAAATTTCAATCTCCAACCTATGTGATTGGTTTTCAAATACTAACTTTATTGATATTTATATACCTAGTTATTTTTGGGATAGGTAGCTGACTTTCAATTCCACATGAAAATTGGAATTTTGTGATATTAAATGATTTTTTTAGAACTAGTATTCTTCATTTACCCAACAAAATATCCTTGAAATGATGATTTTAATATTGAAGGATCGACACATATAAAATGCTATCCAGAACGAACTCTCACTAACAATAAAGATCTTAATTTTGATATAAAAGTATATAATTCTTTTCTTCCTTCAAGTATTCACATTTCAGTGGAAGTTTCTCCCTGAACATTCTATTTTTGGTTCCATATTGAATTGAATTGCATCCATATAATTTCATGGAATTGTAATACAATTTACAGGGTGTTTCGAAAAAACCTAACCCCCTTGCTAGGGTAGGTAGAACATTGCAAAGTAAGTTGGGTTTGCTCAGTGAAAAAATGTCGCAACGGCATCCGTTTTCATGATACAAGGTGTTGAAAAAATTATTTTTTTACACATTTTTCACGATTATTCCGAAACTACTGGCAACTAATGAAATTTTGTATGGATGTTTCTTGAAATCTGACACATGGCATGAATTTGTTTTTATATCAGACTGTCATAGAGGGCGCGAGTTACACGGTTCGTACAGAGTAGTTTTGAACATAACTTTTTTGAGGTTAGATTTTTCATTCCAAATATGATATGAACATGAACATCATTTAATTTTACACCAAAAAGGTACTCCTGGTGAAACTCGATACTATGTTCCATTTTCGAAATATTTCGATTTGAAAATAATGGAGTAGTAAATGATGCTGGTATAAAATGAATTTCATTAAGTTCAATTACCAATTTATTCAGGTTCAAAAACAATGAAATTATTCTTGTGCTGAAGTTACTGATGGAACAAAGAATCATAATTAAGTAGATAATTAAGAGATATTTGACTAGAAACATGAAATATTGAATCAGTTAGAGTAATAAGTGTTCAAAATTTCCTACGTTTCGAGGAATACACGATTCTATATTCTTTTTTAAAGAATGTATATTATTCTTCTGAACAGTTGGGGATCAGCTGTTAGGTCATTTAAGTGATGTTCAATTATGTCTCACAACTCTTGACGTGAAAATTACCTATGTAGCATATATAGACTTTGTACTCAAGATACAACAAAACTGTGTAATCCATGTTCTTAGTCAAATATGTTTCGATGTTATTCTTGTGATTCATTGTTAAATCAATAAGTTTAGCATCAGAAATGTATTGTTGTTTTCGGTTTTCAATAAATAGGTGATAATTTTTCATAATACTCTAATACATAGCTTTATATCAGCAACAGTTACCACTTCATCATTTTCAAATCGAAATATTCCGATAACGGAACACAGTATCGAGTTTTACCAAGAGTACCTTTTTGGTGTGAAATTGAATGATGTTCAAGTTCACATCAAATTTGGATTGAAAAATCTAACCTCAAAAAATTTATGTTCAAAACTACTCGCTATATACGAACCGTGTAACTAGCGCCCTCTATGAGTCAGATATAAAAACAAATGCATGTGATGTGCCAGATTCCAAGTAGAGAAACATCCATATAAAATTTCATCACAATGTTGCCAGTAGTTTCAACATAATCCTGAAAAATGTGTAAAAAAAATATTGTTTCAACACCTTGTATCTTGAAAACGGATGGCGTTACGATATTTTTTTACTGAGCAAACCCAACTTATTTTGCAATGTTCTACCTACCCTAGCAAAGAGGTTAGGTTTTTTGAAAAACCCGGTATAGGCACTTAATTTTCATATTACTCATTGAGTTTACACTAGGGATTAAATGAATTAAAATGGGAGCAAAAATCTCAAGTCATTCAATTCTAATAAGGATTTCCTTGCATGAAGCAAGAGGAATAAAACAATTTTTTAGATAGGTGTACACCTTAGATTATGATCTCAGCCTTAGATTCTAAGGTGTACACCATGGAATTTTAAGTACTTTTAAGTATCATTTTCAATACATCAATTACAATTTAATAAACTTAAGTACTAAAATTATTGATTTAGGTACCCATTTATTAATATTCCTACTTCTCAATTGGCAGGTATTTTAATATGGTATACACCTTTTGGATAGTAATGTTTTCCCCTCAGCATAAAGGGCAGAATGTTTTTGTGATGGAGAATTGATGTTTGTCATATTGTGGTCCAGAAGTTGATTGATGATTCTAGTGCTAATATAAAATCATAGGTTTTACCATATGCATTGAATTAGTCATAGATCTAAATACACAGGAATTAGTTGAAGGAACCAAACTCTCAAGAATAATAAAGAATAACTTTTATGGGGCCACTTTATTTTTAATTAATTTAGCCAGCTTAACAGAACACACATCCAACGGAGTCTGTTGGTCACGATTTTTTATTTCAAGATCGGCACCATTCTCAACCAATAATAAGGCAACTTCTTGCCTGTCTTCACCACATGCATTATGCAGAGCAGTATTGCCATAAACATCCCTGTAATTGATTTTCAATTGGTCTTTGATATCCAAAAATAGTTTTACAATGTCAATGTTTCCTTTAGAAGCAGCTCTGTGTAGTGGAGTACTACCACGTTCATCAGCAATGTTTACATCAGCCTTATGTTTCAACAGTAACTGACAAACCTAAAATATCAAATTAATTTTCCCCAATCCTGTTTCGAACTAGGAGCTTCATACCTCAAGCCAATTCTTTGAAGCTGCATATTGCAGAGCTGAATGTCCTTGCTGGTTTTTGTGATTAACATCATCACATCTATCTAGTATCAATTCCACTATTTCAGCATGTCCAGCTGAGCTGGCTAGAATTAAGGGATTCATGTCAGTGTCATCCATTGGGTTAATGGGAGAGCCAAGCTCCATCAAATAGGAAACAAGTTTCACATTGCCACTGAGAACAGCCCAATGGATTAGCATTCGTTGATTCTGTGAAAGCACAAAAAGAAAACATTGATACCTACTTACATATACTTTCGAAAACTATTACGCTTCTGACTTGATTGTGGAAACATGAATAGTATATCAGCAATAACATCCAAATAATAAATGATATGCTGTTGGGTTGGTTGAGTTCATTGGTTTTCAATACTCACTGAATCAGTTTGTTTCAATAAGATGGGCTCAAGCTCCAGTTTGCTTTTCACATACTCGAAGTCTCCTTTATGAGCTGCTTCGAATGGTGACTTATCAGACATTTTGTTCAAGTGAAAATACTAAACTTTTGTCTCAACAAATTTTGAAAAAACCGCAAATCACTTTTTCACTTAACCTTCAATTCTTCTATTTTATGACTTCTTGTCCTTGTTATTGTATACTACTCTTCTTCTTCTCTTCTTATACAAAAGATCCATTAGATCCATTGTTAATCTGTGTCACAACAAGCGTCTACAAACACCGGAGGCTCCATGATACAAAATTTAGTATCATGGGAGGCTCTCTGAATCCGACGATGTATAACCATCCTCCTAGCTCTCAAATGTTGTTAATAGATAAATGGAATGATTAATAATAATAATAATAATAATAATAATATTTATTCACCATTCGAATCGAAAATTACAATTACAATAATTTTAGGTAACGATAAATAAATATGGAATTCCCACAGAATAGTCCTGAATATTGTCTGAATGATTATGTTTTGTTATGACATATATCTACATAATATTTTCGAGATTTTTGTGATGCTCAATGAACTTATAGAACTCTAGAGGAAAAACAGATTATATTTCATAAAACATGAAAACTATAAAACTCAAATTCAAATTATTTATTATATTTCGGCACCTCGTCCTCGAGATCACTTGATTTAGCTAGGTAGTACCACTCTTAGGTACGGTTGATGCCACAATGTATTAAGTAAGAAGAAGAGTTTTTATCATACAGCAGTACAGCACCCTTCCTTACCGACTGGACCGTGTCGTGTAGTGTGTACGTCATTAGTCATTATGCTTTTTTGTTTTTTGTGTACGCGTTGGTTCGTTGGTGCCACCAAATTTTTTTTCCTTGTTTGATTCTTTTGAAATATTTGATCTTTTTGATTTAATATTGATATTTTCCTCTTTTAGATAAATGGGGAAGCATAGCAAAAGCGATCGAACTCATCGGAGGGACCGAAAGCGAAAGCATTCGCGAATCGCGATCGTGATCCCCTCCTAGAATTGATAGCCAACCAACAGGAGTTGGACAGTTGGAGCGTCTCGCCACAGTAGAGAGCTTACAGTAAGGAATTGGTTATTGGTTGCTCTGAAAGCCGAAATAGAGCGGAAGGTAATTTTGCACTTATCATGCGATGGGTTTTTTTTCGAAAATTTTTTTTGGTACTTACGTATTTTTGTCTGAAAAACACGAATTTGATATGGAAAATGTGAACAAACCACTATTTATCGAGATATCTCAAGAAAAAGTTCGAAATTTTGCCTTCTTTTCCCCCTTGTGTTGAATGCATTTACAGGTACTTGCTCTTTTTATTTTGTCATTGGACACTTCATATACTCATGATGTACTTCAATGACACATTTTAAGCTAGAAAATTCAACAGGAAATATGATTTTTATGGTGAGTTTTTCCTATTTATTAGTGAGCAAGCATACCAGATGACCGCCATTTAATCCATGGGTAATCCAAATAGGAGATGTCAAATGTCAATAGATTGCTTTGGAATGACATCACACACGCCATTATTTCAAATGATATTCTTCCTTCTTTTCACTAAACATGGATAAATCACAAGAAAATCATATTTCTAGTTGACTCATATAATAAAAAATATGTGTCTAACATTGTGTGATATATATAAATTGTCCAATGATGGAAAAAGAAGGGCAAATTGTTCTAAATGCGCCCCAAAGACAGGCGGAAAAGAAGGTGAAATTTGTAACTTTATAGTGAAATATCTCAATAAATAATGGTTTGTTCACATTTTCATTATCAAATTCGTGTTTTTCAGACAAAAATACGTAAGTACCAAAAAAAATTTTCGAAAAAAAACCCATCACATGATAAGTGCAAAATTACCAAGCGGAATACCGCTCGCTCTGTTCACAGTAATCAATCAGCTGCTAGTTATAGCCAAGCCTCCTCCTATAGTCTGGAAAGTCCAGAAAGTTCAAATGAATTTTCCCAAGGTGGCACACCACCTTCCTCTCCGATTGGTGGAACACCACCATCACCTATGGAATGTGGAATACCACAAAATGTTGTCATCATTGAAAAAGATGTCAAGCTAGATGATGACATCCTAGAAGCATTGGGGGAAGACCTTCACAAGGATACCAAGAAGACATATGAACTACACTCAGTGGTCCAAAAGAGATGGAAAACCATACTCACAGAAGGGCTTGATAAAGGAGAAAAAGAAAGGCTAATGGAGCTACATTTGCCTCCAACAAATTTAACATTGTTGAAGGCCCCAGATATAAACCCTGAAATTCTGAAGGCTATGCCTTCAAATACACATAAGAAAGACAAGTTACAACAGCTGAACCAGAGCCAGTTAGGAAAGGGCCTTGCTGCCCTAGGGGCTGGTATCAACATCCTCTTGAAGGAAGAGGATAATAAAGAAAACAAGAACACAGTTCTTGTCCTTCTTAGTGAGTCAGGAAAATTGTTGACAGATGTTCACTACAATATGTCACTGACTAGCAGAGCCCTCATTACACCTATGTTGAGTAAAACTGTCAAAGAGCTGACTAGTGCAGCACCTATTGAGGAGCTGTTATTTGGATCAAACCTAGGTGAGCATATAAAAACAGCAAAAGCTGTTGAGAGATCAGTTATAGATCTCAAACCAAAAACAGATACTGTATTCAAGAAGCCTAGTAATCAACTACCAAGTACAAGCTCATCAGGTAGTGGTACATATAAAAGAGGTGATTCTTTAAACTGGAGGGGCCTGTCTGGATACAGGAGATCACAGAAGGGGCAATATCTCCAAACCAAAAAACATCATCAGCCTCCCACTTGGAAGTAGATAGAAAGGTGAGTTTTTTTCTCTTTGCAGGTAGCTTGAGGTTTTCCAAAAATCAATGGAAGTCCATCCTATCACCACATCCAGAAATCCTGAAATGGATATCTGGTTACAAGATTCCTTTTGTTGAAAAAACAAAGGCTATGTTACACAGTGGGAATCATTCTGAAAATGAATGCAGGGAATTGATGTTGGAAGTAAATCACCTTCTTGATTTGGGAGCAGCTTGTTGAATGCAAGGAAGTAGTATCCCAGTTTGTCTCACCATGTTTTTTGATGAAAAAATCCAATGGTAAGGCAAGGTTCATCCTTAACCTAAAAGAACTCAATCCACTCCATTTTAAAATGGAGGACAGTAGAACAGTCATGAAGCTGATTAAGAGAAACAACTATATGGCAACCTTTGATCTCTAGGATGCTTATTTACATATCCCAGTCCATGAAAAGTTTAGGAAATATTTACATTTCAAAAGTAAATGATACCTTATATGAATTCACATGTATGGTATGCAGACTCCTTACACTTCCTTGTACTTTTTTATTTTGCTGTCTAATCCACATAAAACTGAACCTAGTAGACTTCAAATCACACAGAGATATCCACTCATATTCAACTAGGAATAGAGATAATTTAGTCCTGAGCTACCACAGGTTAGAGATTTCAACTATTTCAAATCCAAAGTCAAAACAAATCTTTTGAAAAATGCCTTCTTTTCCATCCAGGAGAATCTAGAAAGTGATTTTAATATGTAAATGTATTCTACTCTATTTTGTGATGTTGTTTTACTATGTATTGCTACCATTAGTATCTTATCTATTAAGCTTTGTCCTACTATTTGTAATTTTTTTACTATTTTATATCTATTGTAACATTTTTTCTCTCTCTTTTTTATATATCTGACCTGTAAAAGCACTTTAGTGTAATACTTTGCCAATAAATAAACTAAACTAAATTACATTTTCACCAAGCTCATCAAACCTATTGTTAGGAATTTGAGAAAGTAGGGCATTGTTTGTGTGGCATATCTTGATGATTTTTGTATAATGGCATCTACTGAAGAAATTTGCCAGGAGCATGTAGAAAAGTCAATGAATTTATTGATTTCTCTAGGTTTCACAATAAATTTTGAAAAATGGATAGTCATATTCGAACCTAATAAATATTTACTCTCCTCCCCTTTCAGGAAAACACATCCACTGCATGCCACCCTTTTCCTGGTGGCAGGCAAATTGTCCGGCAAGCTTTTTTAAGAAAAGGCCATTCAGAGGAAACAATCCACACCATGATGCAGTCTATATCTGAATCAACAATGAGACAGTACCATTCCTCTTATGAGGCATGGTGGTCATTCTGTCTGAAGCAGATCCTTTTGAAGCAAAAATATCCACTATATTGGCATTCATGCAATATGAGTTGGGTCGTTCTAGGGCAAAATATGGAAACTTCAACCAGCATAGGTCAGCACACTATCTAATTCTTCAAAAGGAAATTGGAAAACATGCCCTTATAAGGAGATTTCTAAAGGGTGTTTTGAGATTGTGACCTCCAATACCTAAATATGACATCACATGGGAGCCTCAAAAAGTGTTGGATCATTTATCTTCATTGGGTACTAATGAGAGTTTATACTTTTTAGAATTGTCAAGAAAATTGGCAGTTCTTTTAGCTGTAGCTACAGGCCAAAGAATACAAATTCTACATGTCATAAGGGTGGAAAACATAACCTTTCAGAAAGAAGCAGCATATAAAAATATATATGTATCCATTATCCCGGATAGAATTAAGACTACTAGTTTGGAGGGTTTTCAACCATACATAGAGTTACCATTTTTTGAGGATAGTTCAGTATGTGTGACCTCAACTCTATTCACCTATATCAAAAGATCCATACCAATGAAGCTAGCAAAGCCACTTTCGAATTTCACCATGAGACACATCTCATAATTTTAGGCTCATTTTAGGCTAATTTATTACCCCATTCCTGAATTTTTTGCTTCTCTCTATCATAGAAAAATCTGTGGCTTTGCTAGCTTAGGCTGAACTCAGCAGAGCCATTTTTGAAAAACAATATTTTTTGAATATCTGATATAGTGAGAATGTAGTGCTCATTTTAGGCTAATTTATTACCCTATTCCCAATCTTCTTGCTCCTCTCTATCATAGAAAAATCTGTGGCTTTGCTAGCTTAGGCTGAACTCAGCAGAGCCATTTTTGAAAACAGATTATTTTTCACCGATTTGATATATTGAGATTAAAGGGCTAATTTAAGGCTAATTAATTACCTAATTTTCGTATTTTTTGCTCAACGTTTCAAACAGAAAAACTACAGGACAAT